TTGGTAACACAGTGGAGACATATTAAGCTAGCTAAACTAGCTAAACACATATGTTTCTGAAAAAAACGTTAAAAAAATTAAAAAGTGCACTGCCTGTCTTAAATATAAGTAAACAAAACTCTAAACATTTATAAAAATCCAACCAAAAGTCAATTTAAGCAAAAAAAAATTTGATCTTCATTTTCCTTAGTTAAAAAAGACGTTTTATTGAGGCCACTTACTTATTCAACTTTATTATTAGGTATATTATTTTTGCATTCTGCACAATTTAATTAGGGCAAATTTAATTTTTATGAGATTAATTGCACAATAACAAAGGCAAACTTGGTAACAATGTATACCAGGCGTGTTAAAATAGCAGCGTGTATTTGGCAAAAACGCTGCAGGAGGAGACGAGCACGTCAGTAAATTATTTGCTTTTTCTATGGGCACGCGTAAGCAAACGTGTTTTTCAAATGCCTACGTAACTATAGGAGCAGGCTGACAAACCAATCAAGCTTTTGCACAATCAATCACTTAGAGGGAATCTGTTTGCAAATTATGTCAAGAAAGGATTGTTTATAATTGTTAAATTACGAAATTACATAAACTTATATTGTGCTTTTGTTAAATAAATTAATTTCATAAAACATAAAGTTCATATTTTGTTTGGGAATAATAATTTTTTCTTTTTTTATAAATTTCATTATACTTAACAGAAGTTACTTTGGAAAAACTATACAGATTTTAATCGCGAGAATTTAAAAGTCGAGATACCCTGCAGGGTGTTATGGTTAACAAAAAACATATATTTTGTTAAATATCTCAGTAACTACTTGTTCAATTTCGATAAAAACTATGCATGATTTTGGAAATTGGTAAAGGGCTTAATTTGATGTAATAAGATTTAATTTAGTTATTCCAGGGGCGGCGCTGGGACATCTTAACTAGATATTTAAAAATAAAAATTGGCTACGCCTTTCCTTTTTATGAATTTGATATATATATTATTTTTATTTATGTATTTTCAATTGCTTATTCTAAATACCTATAGGTATTTAGAATAAGCAATTGAAAATACAACTTATTTATCTCGTGCATCTTGCTTAATTTTCAAGATAAAAATAGAATTCGTTTATTATAATATATAGTCATTATAAAATTAAATTAAAAAGTTATAAATATTTCAAATATCTATAACTTTTTCGAAAATTGACTTAACAGGGCGTTTTTTTCAAAATTTTGTTATTAAATTTACTTTTTGGAAAAATATACAACAAAAATATTCAGGCTGATTTTTTAAATTTTTCAGAAAAAAAAACCGAAAATTTCTCGAAGATTGTCATTTTTTTTATGGAAACATTTTCTTAAAATTCTCTGAAATTTTTATGGTGACGTTTTTTCGTTTTCTATTTTTATTCAATTGAAAAATAAATTGAATTAACATTTTTTTCTAAATATTTTTTTGAAGGCAAAGAAAATAAAATAGCTGTAAATACAAAAAAATAAAATTATTTATTAAACTAGGTATGGCTTTTATAAATAATTAAACAAAAAAAGCGAAGTGTTGAAAAAAACATAAAACGAATTTCATCACAAATTAACCACCTACGAAACTTGTTGTTTTTCCAATCTTGAACCAATTAAAATTTTTATTTCCTTGGCATTTAAATGTAATTTTCAAAAAATATAAAACATTCAGAACTATCTTTTATTTTTTTCTTCCCTTTTCGAAAAACATTAAAATTTTTTTGATGCTTACAACTTTTTTTCAAACTTTGAGTTTCTCTACATCCTCAAAAATCGCCAGAGTGGTATTATAAGAAATATGATGACTAAATTTTTTTTTTAGGTTTTGAAAAAAAAAGAAAACGAAAAACGCCAGAAATTTTAGATAATTTACAGAAAATGTCAGTTTCTAATAAAAAAAAACAAAACGACAATCATCGGATTTTTTTTTCAAATGGAAACCATATAAATTTAAAAATGCAATAATATTAATATTATTGCATTTTTAAATTCTACGTAAAATTCTAGAAATACTAAAATTTGATTATTTTTTATTTTAACAGTTTTGAGATACCTATTTTATTTTTTTCTAAAATTTTGACAGATTACCAACACACCACTGATATTACAAATAAAAAAATAACCTCTTTTCACATTGTTACTAATATCTCTGCATGTAAATATTAGTTTTAGATATAGGGAATGCTGGATCATTTCTATAGAACACATTAGGGGGCATCCATTAATTACGTGAGGTATTTAGGGGGGAGGGGGTCGAGCCAAACCTCACCCAATCTCACGTGGGGGGAGGGTGGACTCGGCAAATATCACGTAATTTTTTCTTTACGAATGAAACAGTGTAAAATTGCGAGAAAATTGTGTTAAATTAAGTAAACAATTATAAGCAAATTGTTTTTTTTTAATAAATATAATTTAATCAATCACAGAATAACTTATTTACATTAAAACCATGCATTTTAAAAAATCTCACGTGAGATTAAGAGAGGGGGGAGGGGGTCGAGCAAAATCTCACGACATCTCACCAAGGGGAGGGGGGGAGTCGAAAAATCGCCAAAATTGCCTCACGTAATTAATGGATGACCCCTTAGTTTGTGTCGAATGATGTGAAAATATGGTAGTATACTATATATATATATATATATACCTATAGGTACCTATGGTAATTTCATTTGAAATAACCATAGGTTACCTATTGGTATTTAAAGTGACAAAAAAGTCAACGTAAATACCAGACACCCTGTATAAAATTATCAAATACAATTATAATGGCTTTCGATAGAGTGCTCCTTATAACTATAGTTACACCATTGACTAAGCTTAGGTTACACCAAAAATTAACTTTTTAACATTATCTACAATTAGTGGTAATACAGACATATATTATAATAGTAAACTTCTAATAAATAAGTTAGGTAAATCACCCTAGGGTGTATATACAGGGTGTCCGGGAAAAGGAGGTCAATCCGTTAACCATATATTCCTTGAGTTAAAACAATAAGACTTTCATAATACCATTTTTCAATTTAGGCCTTCATGTTCGATATACAGGGCGACAAAGTTTGAAATTAAAAACTGATTTTTTTTTAATAATTCGAGTAATTGATAAGATACTAAGTTTAAATTCAGTACACTACTTCAACATAAATAGTTACATTTTTTGAGACCAACAAAACAAAAAACAATTGTCAAATAATCAAAATAGGGGGGTCCAGTACTCACTGACTCCCCCTATTTTTTAGTACGTACGCCAATGACTTCCAAACAGAATTTTTTCAGGTAATCATTTATTGTTGAAAATGTTTTGTCTCTTATAAAATTTTGATAAAATGATTTGTTTTAGAGATAATTTGTAAAGTATGGGTCAGTCCATATCAAATTTTTAAAATTTAATTTTTTTTTTTGAAAAAATGTAGGTCATGTGATATATCATAAAAAAATTCTCTAATAGGCCTTTAAAATAAGCCATCACTCACCTTTCTACTTTTAATAGTTTACGAGATATTGCTATTTTTGTAAGTACTTGCAAGACCCAAATTTATCGGAATTTTTTGATTTTCAAAAATCAATAAAACAAAAACCACCTATCGAAAAAAATTCATATTTGGGATTTTTGAGTTTTTTAGTGAGGTAAACAAATTTACCAAAAATGATCAAAATCGGAGATGGTGGGGGAAGAACCTTTGGTTGATTTGATATGGACTGACCCATACTTTACAAATTATCTCTAAAACAAATCATTTTATCAAAATTTTATAAGAGACAAATTTTTTTTAACAATAAATGATTACCTGAAAAAATACCGTTTGGAAGTCATTGGCGCACGTACTAAAAAATAGGGGGAATCAGTGAGTACTGGACCCCCCTATTTTGATTATTTAACAATTGTTTTTTGTTTTGTTGGTCTCAAAAAATTTAACTATTTATGTTGAAGTAGTGTACCGAATTTAAACTTAATATCTTATCAATTACTCGAATTATTAAAAAAAATCAGTTTTAAATTTCAAACTTTGTCGCCCTGTATATCGAACATGAAGCTCTAAATTGAAAAATGGTATTATGGAAGTCTTATTGTTTTAACTCAAGGAATATATGGTTAACGGATTGACCTCCTTTTCCCGGACACCCTGTATATTTTGTGTTGGGTGAAAAAATTCTAAAAAATGTTTTTGATAGGGAAGAAAAAGATAAAAAACTTTAAGCTAACTCAAAAGTGAAATTTGATCAAAACTAACTTTCCTTTAACTTACCTAAAATCCGAACTTAAATTTCCTGCAACTTTCACACTAAATGAAAAATGACAACACCAAACAACTATTAAACGAAAAATCCTTTTAGGCAAATAACAACCAAAATTGTTTAGGAAAAATCGCATTGAAATGAGTCGTACATGGTCATCACTAGTTTATTGTACAAGTTATGAAATAGAATTGACGGAGTCATCAGGGGTGGCGAGTTTTCACGTGTTTTTCCAACGTGAGCACCTTAGCAACGCAAATACGGAATTTTCCGAGGTACATGTGCAGAGGAAAAGCGTGTTGCCGGGTGCGCAGGCGCAAACTACGTTTTGTTTGAGAATTTCATTTTCCAAGATATAAATTGATGCAGTCAGCAGATGATTTCATCTATAGAAAATCATTTATGTATAAAATAAAACCTAGCGGTTATGATTCAAATTAAAAATGTATATTTTTATACCTATGATCTTTAACAAAATACCTACTTAAGCACGGGTACCTTATCTAATCAAACCAAACTTATAATTATTGTAAATCACACAATTACCACTGTAACTGACCAATTAAAAAAACATATGCACTCCTTATCTGTACATAAAGAATAAACAAAGTATTTATTTATTAAATAAATTTTATTTATAGAGAATAGTAAACTACAAACACACAGAAGATAAATATCTTAATGCCAGTAAAAATAAATACATGTAAATATTTAACATTGTAAGTATTGATAAACCATTTAACAATGTAGTGATACAAAAGCTAGACGTATTATTCTTTTAAAAATGGCCACAGCAATTGCCAACAATGACAAAATCGTCTATTACAATGCCAAATATTTATATAGTTCTATTTCTTCAATTAACGGTAAGTTAAGAGTTAAATAAATGTAAATTACCTAAATAAAATGTCATCAAAGTGGATAAAGGACAATAATTGTAATTATTACAAGTTTATTGACATCAATCGAGAACATTTGAATTTACCGCATAAAGTAGGCGCCATCTATATAAAAATGCAATGACTAAACTGCTGAAATGTTTTAAATTTGTAAATACGTTAAATAAATAGTTAAATAAAAAGTTATTGTGCTGGTAAAAAATGAATATTGGAAACTTAAGGTGCTCAATTAGCAAGGTATTAATAAATTATTTCTCTGGGTATCCAAAATTATTTGAGGTTATAATTTTGTTTATTTTTATTTTAGAAAGGAAAAAAATGCATGGGGTCAAAAGAGTGATGGTCTTCTGCTTGATGACGGTAATTATGCCCGCAATTCTAATCACTACACCTTTATATTTGAAACATACTGTGTTTGCTGATGTGATATACCGAGTCGCTGAGTCCGATGTACTTCCCATTGAGGATGGTATTTCTTCGATATTTTGCCAGGGGCACACGCTGAAAATGAACACATCGTTTAATGCGTTCCAGTTGAAAGGAACGCCGCAGTTGAGCAGTAAAAGAAAGCATATCAGGCTGAAAAAATCCATGTCATTACCCGATGATACTTTGGAATACTGGGGGTTTTATTTACTGTCGGGGGCGCTGGTTAAGTTGAAGGTTTGTTCGAGGTTTCAGGGTTCCAGAATTTTAGTGGTAAGGGGGGACAAAAAATTGAGGACATGTGGTTTGCTGGACCACAATTTAAAGAAGAAGGGAGATAAATTTGACCCTGAATATTTACAAGTTAATATAACGTTCGAAAATAAAGCTGAAATATTGGGGTTAGTGGATCATAATGATACAAATACGGCCGAGGAGGATTTGACTATAGAAAAGACTGACAGCTACATTAAAAAAAGGCTGGATAAAAGTAAGAGAAAATTCCAAGAGGTACCTGAGTCAAAACATCACAAAAGGCACATACACAAAAAGTTGATTCACCAAAAAAAAGTTGAGAGGTTAAGAAATATTCTTGATACAGACAGTGATATTCCTCGGCAAAAAAGGGGTACAGGGCCTTTTGATGCCCATATTGCTCATGGGGGGAACGCTTTTAACGTTACCAACCCTGATGGGGGGGCTAGTAGTGTATCAAGCTTTGAAACCGATCTATGGGCTTGCTATAATGGACAAATTTTAGTTGCAGAAGGATTTCCACCTTCTAAACAATGCAATAACATACACTACTTAGAAAAAGGTAACCACATGATAACTACACACCAAGTAGCCTCAAATGGGTACTACTACTACATATTTTACTCTGATAATGATCTCCAATCAAATTCCATTCATGCTATATTCGATATATACAAACCAACTTACCGATACGCAAACACATCATCAAATGAGTGTTACAATCAAACTGAGTGCCATTTCGACTTAAAATTCATGTCCGACGAAAAAATTATTGTGGAGGTTCCTACAAGGGATGGTATCGAGCATGAAGGTGATGATATAACTCTGCTAACTAGTACCTGTCACCCCCGTATGGTTATCTATATGTTTTTCCCGATATCCGTACTATTTTTGATATTGGGCTGTGCCTTTTTGTAATACAACAAAATCGTGTGATATTCTTTGATTACTGGTATTTCCGAATATTTTAAATGTAAATACCTATTAATTCTTTATGTAAGTTGTTATGCAATAATAATGTTGTTAAGTATTTGTATAGAATATTTTAATTAGCCTTAGAGCATGGCTAAGCTATCCATGTGTTATATGCTCTAAAGAATTAGCATGGTCACTTGATTCTGTGACCAAGTCAGTTAAAAAAAAGTGATTTGTGGATTGTTATAAATTTCAATTTTAAATTAAACATTTAAACATGTTTAACACTCTGTACAATAATATGTGTTTATTCCTATACCGTTTTGTTTTTATCTAATTTTCTAGAATTATATGTTTGATTTTGCAATATGAATTAACACTTATTGACTGATTATATAAATTTTATATGTATGGAAAATATTATTCTAAAAACTTGATAGGTATAATTTTTAATATATTCAAAGAAATGATTACTTTTCAAGTTTAATTTATCAATTTAGGTTGTCATATGATTGATAACAATAATGAACTTTTGAGACTTAAAAAATACTGGAATTTAACACGTTAAAATTATGTAATAAGTTTTATTAAATTAAATTTATTTTTTATATTATTATTTATATTTTTATAGTATAATAAACATAACATACTTAGTTAATCCATTTAAAAAATTGTAAATGGATTTTATTTTTGAGCCATCATGGAAAATTCGTCCATGAATAAAAACAATTTTAGTACCTGCTAATATCCCCACAATTACCAAAGCATTTATTTGATTTTTACCTTAAAAACAATAAACTTTTGAAATAAAAACTTGTTTCAATTTTAACCTGCAGGTTTTATTATAATAAAATAACTCATGAGTTATTTTAATTTTCATCAACTTCTACATTTAACTTAATATTCTAGTGCATTAATACCTTTGAATAAATTTTTATTCAATTAATTGACTCTAGTGTATTAATTAACTTAAGTTGCTTAAGGCACTAATAAGTAATTCATTAAATTGGAAAAAACGTTTGACAGGTGTTAGATTGAGAAAACGTGAGGTTAAAACTTAATGACAGTTGTCAAATGTCAAATAAAATCAACTTTAAATTCTGAAAAAACTTTTGTATGGCTACATTTGTTTTATGAACTTCTCAAAAACATGTTTTAGAAGTTTTATAAAACTTTGTGAAAATAATAATACCGTTATTTCTGTGGTTATATTTACTTGTTTGTTAAAAACGCCATAATAATATGACATAAATGTCGTTATTCAGGTAAAATATTCCTCTAACCTTTTTCATTTCGAACAAGTGTAAGGTAAATTTTGCTAAAAGTAAATTAAAAATAAATCCTTAAAATTACCTTATAAGGTAAGAATGTCCAATTCTTTGAATTATATTTTTAAATTTTATTGCCTAAGCAAGTTGCATTTATTGATTTAATCAAAAAGTATCCTGTCAATTTAAAGTTTCGATTTGAAGTTTCGGTTAAATTCCAGTGTCAAATTGCTACACTAGAAGACCAGCTTTTTCAAATAATAGGCGCGAAATTTTGACAGTAAAGAGGCATTTCCGGAGTGGAGGTGAGCAGCCATGTTAATCCGCCGCAGAAGTAATCACCAACTCGAAACCTAAGCATAACCGTTAATACCAAAGTTTGCTACATAAGCTTAACGTATTTAAGTTACCTGCATTGTCAACTTTGGAAATAGTTGGTGTTGTTCATTGTTGACGAGAAGAGTTATTTAGTTTTGTTCCTTTTAAGTTTACCTTGGCGTAGGAATATAACACTTTGCGCCCGACATTAGCAGTCTTTTCCGTTTAGCGAACGCGGAGTGAATCATGTCCGTACAGAATACAAGGTAAGTTTTGTTTTTTCTAAAGAAAATAGTGCGTGTTTTTCAATCAAACTCAAGTGAAAAGTTGACAGTGGTTGTGCTTTTTCCATTTAAAGTCTCACCAGCTCTCAAGTGTGTGTACTTTTACGAAAATTTACCCATTTAATCGGCAAGAACTCTGGCAAATCCTTCGCCAACATGGCGCGTGGAAATTATCAACTTTTAACTCGATTTTCTTCGTTTATTTCGTTGTTTGGTATGCATTCAATCATGGAAATTGTACAGATTGTGTTTATAAATAGATTTAATGTTTTGTTCCAGGGCAAACAAGCTTCTTAACTCTAATTTACAAGCTCAAGATTTTTACCGTTTCCACGTGAATATCGCACGTTATATTATATAATACGCCTTTCTTAAAGCATTTACCGTGATAAAAACTGCAAAATGCAGCATAATTCACACACCGAAGTCGTATTTGTGCGTTGGGGGACTTTAAACTGTCAGCATATGTCAAAGCGTAGCTTTGAAATTTTGAAGGTTACCTGCATTCAAAACTTTTGTGTCAAAACCATATTAAAGATTGTCAAACTCACTTGAGAATGAAAACGCATTTTATAATGTTTGGACAATATTAAATACTTTTAATGAATGATCTGGTATTTGTGTTTTAGAAATGAAGATTGGGATAAAAATGGCCCAGCTTCAGAAGGTGAACCCAAAGCTTACGATGGTCCAGCTGGAATGGACCCAGAAGGCATCATTGAGTCGAACTGGGAAGAAGTTGTTGACAACTTTGATGACATGAACCTGAAAGAGGAACTCTTGAGAGGTATCTATGCATACGGTTTTGAAAAACCTTCCGCTATCCAGCAAAGAGCTATTATTCCCTGCATTAAGGGTCATGATGTCATTGCCCAAGCCCAGTCTGGTACTGGTAAAACGGCCACCTTTTCCATTTCCATCCTCCAGCAAATCGACACCTATGTGAGGGAATGCCAGGCTCTTATCTTGGCCCCCACAAGAGAATTGGCCCAACAAATCCAAAAGGTAGGAATTATAATTTTTTTAAATATTTTTTTTACATTCTGACATTGGAAACTTACTTTATTTTATTAATATAATCAAGCAAAGAATTTAATTTTTTTTTGCTAAAGTTTGCAAATATTTTAGTTTAAAATTTGCGCATTAATTTTAGGAAAATTTTTCAAACAATAAAAATACCATAGTGTGACAATACATTTCTTGGTATTTATTGCTACATTTAATAAATTATGCGCAAAATTATGAAATTTGCATTGAATATCACAATTTTAATTATAATATGTATTCAATATACGATTTTTTAAGAGCAAATTTTTTTTTGTATGGAAAATATATTTTACTTTATTATATTTATATATATTTACAATTTACATAATACAATTTTCAGAAATCCGAAATTAGCGCAAAATATTTTTAAAAAAATCGGAAATTTCAATTCCCAATCCAGTATTTTTGTTGCCTTATAGATGGAGCTAGTTATTCTAAAAACAATGTTGATTATGAGTTACTGCCATGAAGGCCTCAAAATATTTTATAATTATTTAAAAATGTAAACACAACGCATATTTTTAAATATTTGGACTAGGGTTTTAAAATTTCCGGAAACATTAGCTGGTGGAAAAACACGGAAAAATTCAGAAAAATTGACTTTCATTTTTAAATTTTATTCAAAGGCTAATACAAAAAAATGCAAAAGTCAATTTTTCTGAAAATTTCCAAATTTTTACAGCTAATATCCGTACACTGATATCGAGAAAAAAGTGAATTTGCGACGCTGATTATAATCATAACATTATGATTATAATAATTGTTTTTCTGAATTCAGTAAGAATATTCTACCGGGCCGCAAAAAACATATTCGGTGCTGTATTAACAGAACTGTATTTAACACTTCAATTTATTAAATTATAATTTTGTAATTTAACTTTATAAATCATTCATTATCTTGTAGTTGGATATTTTTAATGCAAAAAACTCCCAACCAACAGTATATTTAACGTTTATTTGTAATAAAGAAAATTGTTTTTAATTAAAATAATGTTAAGTTGTTCATTGCTACTTTTTTTTCAAATGTGTATATTTTCAATTATTCCCTGAAAAAAAACAGGTTTTCCCCCCAATTTTTCCGTTTTTTTCCAGACACTTTAAAACCCTAATTTGGACCCTGTTATGCAATAGGGAACCATAGGGAAATCGCATTATTTTTCGAATATTCGAATGTTCGATTACACGAATATTCAAATTTTTTTCATTGATTTCCACTTCTATTCAAATACTTGAGTTATTTGTAAACGATTCCAAATCTTAGATAAGCCCACTTTTGACAAAATGTGGGTTGGTTCTCCATTGGAAAAGGGGCCATTTAACAGTGTTAAAATTACTGCCAAAAAAGATTACCTATTAACATCAAGACATGGTCTAGCGCAAGATAAGCAGTACCAAACATATGAATAAGTCAAAATATTTAAATTTAATAAACAAAACAAGCTGGAATATAAATTTATTTAAGGTTGGTAATTAAAATATAACGTCTTAATTATTTTGTCTTGCATTGCCTGGGAGTTGCGACTTTTAGGCTTGGTTTTTGCACCAATAAAAAAATGCAAAAACATTATTATTGTTATTATTATTGTGTTAAAGTGTCGGAAAAATTGGGGAAAAAACTGTTTTTCGCGTTTTTTCTCAGGACTTGAAAAAATTGGCCTTTTGAGGAAAAATTATTTTTTTTTGGAAAATATACACATTATTTTAGTTAAAAAAAAAAAACATAAGGAAATAAACGTAAACGTGAAATATACTGTCGGTTGGGTATTTTTTGCAAAAATGAGTCCATTAAAATTATCAAACTGCAAAATAATGATTGATTTATAAAGTTAAATTACAAAATTTTATAAATCGAAGTGTTAAATAAAAGTTATGTATGTTAATACAGCACCGAATATGTTTTTTTGCGGCCCGGTAGAATATTCTAAATTAAAATAAAAGGAGTAATAATTATAATTATTATATTAAGATTATAATCAGCGTCGGAAATTCACTTTTTTCTCAATATCAGTGTAGGGATATCATCCGAAAAAATTTCTAAATTTTCAGAAAAATTGACTTGCATTTTTTCGTATTATTTACCCTTTGAATAAAATTTAAAAAATGAAAAAGTCAATTTTTCTGAAACTCCCAATTTGTCCGTTTTTTTTTTTTCGGAAAAAAGCCGACTCAATTTTTCCGGAAATATTGTTGGTGTGTTCAGTATTAAAACTAGGAATAAAACTGCGCGTCATTTTTAAAATATTAAAATGATTATTAAAGGTTCATGTAAATTTTATATACAGAAAACATTTGGCAGTTCAGTGGTATTTTAAACTTGATACTGGAAAATTGTCATATATGGGCCTTTAATTGTAAAATATACAAATATTAGCCTTATCACAAAAGCCTTTTATCAAAATTAATATTTTTATTAAAACATTTCTGCACTCAGAGAAATGAATTTGTTAAATCAAAAGTTTTAGAAATGCCACGCCTTTTGATATTAAAACAATTAACATTTTGTTGACATAAACTTTAAATTTTACTTTCAATTAATATTTTGAGAATGTCAAATTAAATATGTTAATTTAATAGTCCATTTTATCAGTAAATCAACAATAAACGTATATTGAATAAATATTGTTAAGAAATTTGATTAAATAATTTTTCTATTAGTTAAATGGATACACAAAAAAATTAAACGAAAATGTAAAATTATTGAAGCGATGTTTATTTTAATTTTGCCTTTACAACATATCTTAGTAATTATTCTAAAATTGCAAGATATTTTGTTTCTGAAAATTTCCCAATTTGTCCGTTTTTTCTCTCGAAAAAAAAAACGGTATTTTTTTTCGCCGACTTAATTTTTCTGGAAATTTTAAAACCCTAGTAATTATGATTATTAGGTTGTCATTGCTTTGGGAGACTTCATGTCCGCGCAATGCCACGCCTGCATCGGCGGCACGAATGTCAGGGAAGACATGAGGAAATTAGAGACTGGAGTGCACGTGGTGGTGGGAACCCCCGGCAGGGTGTTCGACATGATAACGCGAAGGGCGCTGCGCACGAGCCACATCAAGATGTTCGTTCTCGACGAGGCCGACGAGATGTTATCGAGAGGTTTCAAAGACCAGATTCACGACGTTTTTAGAACGCTAAACTCGGACGTGCAGGTGATCCTGCTGTCCGCCACTATGCCGCAGGACGTGCTCGACGTCACCAAGTCGTTCATGAGGAACCCGATCCGTATCTTAGTCAAGAAGGAGGAGCTCACCTTGGAGGGTATCAAGCAGTTCTTCGTGTTCGTCGAGCGTGAAGATTGGAAGTTGGAGACTTTGTGCGATTTATACGACACGCTGTCGATCACGCAGGCCGTCATCTTCTGCAACACGCGCCGCAAGGTGGACTGGCTCACCGAGAACATGCACAAGAAGGACTTCACCGTGTCGGCGATGCACGGAGACATGGAGCAGAGGGAGAGGGACGTTATTATGAGGCAGTTCAGGACGGGGTCTTCGAGAGTGCTGATCACCACGGATTTGCTGGCCAGAGGCATCGACGTGCAGCAAGTTTCGTTAGTTATTAATTATGATTTGCCATCCAACCGTGAAAACTACATTCACAGGTAAGAACAATTGATTTCTATTGCATTTTCCTCGCCCTAAAGTTTCAAGGTTGTATGTTAAATAATAAATGAATTTTTTTTCCTTTTCATGGACCAGTTTAAAGTGTTTTTTATTACGCACATTAGGGCAAAAATAGTTTATGCGACTTGCTGCAACGCTCGACATCCCAAAATTGAATAATTGAAAACTGCCTTAAATTGGGCAAATAAAAACCGCACATTAAATTTAATGGTTAATTGAAAACTGCTCAAATTGGAACAAAATTGGATAATTAAAAACTGCCCTTACATTTAATTTATTCAAAACCGGGTAATTGAAAACTACACGTTAAAATTTACGTTTTGGGTGATTAAAAATGCTTAAATTCGAACAAAATTGGATAATTGAAAACCAACCTTACCTTTAAATTAAAATCGGGTAATTAAAAACTGCACATTAAAATTAATGTTTTGGGTAATTGAAAACTGCTTAAAATTGTATAATTGAAAACTATTCTTACATTTAAAGTAAAATCGGGTAATTAAAAACAGCACTTTAAAATTAATGTTTTGGGGAATTGAAAACTGCCCTTACATTTAATTAATTTAAAATCAGGTAATTGAAAACTGCACGTAAAATTTACGTTATGGGTTAATGAAAATTGAATAATTGGAAACTACCCTCACATTTAGTTGAAACTGCTCATAAAAAATAATATTTTGGGTAATTAAAAACTGCCCAAATTTGCAATTTCGCAAAATGTGGAATTTTTTGAAACTATTTACCAAAAGTTGATGTTTATTTTTTAATAATTGCAATTTATTAGGTGGCATAATGAAAGTGGGTAGCTTTTATATCAAGTTTACATCTAAAGTAACTTTTGGTAAATCATTTAACCTGCATCTTAGAAATAAAACAAATGAAAAAAAAATATTTAAATAAAAATAATATAAATATATAAATAAAATTCTAAGCATTAAAAAAATGACATACAACATTGTAACTTTAGGATAAGTATGTTTAAATAAATTAATATAATTTTTTCAATCATTTAAATAAAGTATTCATAATATAAAAACAAGTTATTTGGTACAAACAAAAATTATTTCAAAATTGATCCTTGGTCATTACATTTATGTTTTATGTTTATAAACAATTGATAATTTTATTTTAGTTTATAATATTTATCAAATATCTTTATTTAAAATGAAACCTTCATATATGATTATGAAAAATCAACGCGTGTATTTATTAATTTTTTTCTATTAATTTTGTTGGTTCCTTTTCGAGATATTTATTTTTTAATTTATTTTTATCTTAAATATCAATTTTGACCCGCGCGATTGTTTTGAGTGCAATTTTTACAATTTTTATTTTATTACGAATCTAGTTCTACAAGGTGTCCCTAAACTTATTGGCATAAATTTAGGAAAAGATTGAGCAGTTTTTTTTATATAACTTCTACTATGGTAGACTTGAAAAGGTGATATTTTGCAAAGAGTCACTTACTTCCAATACACATATTCACACATAATTACAATTGTTTGAGTGAACACAGTGTCGTAGAAACGGGGGTTGCTCTAAACTTATTGTCCCAAACAAACTTTGAGGTTTGGTTTTTATTTCATGCAATTTTTCGATTACTCAGTTCGGCTAATATTAAAAAGGTGTACCTCTCAATCTGATAAAATAAACCGTTTCCGAGAAATTCGAGATTACAATAAATGTTATATCGCATTAAAGGATTAGGTATATGATAACAAATTTTATTTTTTAATTGAAAAACTAAAAAGGCCATTTCATGAGCCTTGGGAATTTTTGCCCTCACATTAAAAAAAATTTTAGTTTTTTCAATTAAAAAAAATAATTGTTATCATATACTTTTTAATCCTTAATGCGATATAACAATTATTGTTATCTTGAATATCTCGGAAACGGTTTATTTTATCGAAGTTTTAGAGGTACACCTTTTTAATAGTAGAAGAAAAATTGCATCAAATGGTATAAAAACCTAACCTCAATGTTTGTATGGGACAATAGGCTTAAGCAACCCCCGTTTCTACGACACTGTGTTCACTCAAACAATTGTAATTATGTGTGAATATGTATATTAGTAGTAAGTGACTGTTCGCAAAATATCACCTTTCCAAGTCTACCATAGTAGAAGTTGTATTAAAAAAACTGATATGATAAGTAACACTTTATCAACCTATCTTGGAAACATACCTATGTAATTAGGAAAAATATTTATTTAGATTTTCGTCTTATTTTGACTTGCTTAATCTGCTTTTAAATTTATGCCACTAACTTTAGGGACACCTTGTATATTAGCTGTCTCAATTATTTTTTTAATAAGAAATGTTAGGGACTACTGACAAATAGCAGAGACCCTTAATAGTATAATGAATCCTTTATTTAAATGAACAAGAATAAAAAAGTTGTTTATGATGATTTTTACCACCAAGATCTCCGAGGTCCTGACGATATATAAACTATACTGATGTTTTGTCGAGCAAAACTAATATTGTGTTGGCTTTTGGACAGAGGTGTTGACTGTTATTTTTTTTGTCTGCTTAGGATTGGTCGCGGTGGACGTTTCGGGCGTAAAGGCGTGGCGATAAACTTTGTGACCGAGGAGGACAAGCGCACGCTGAAAGATATCGAACAATTTTACAACACGAAGATCGACGAGATGCCAATGAACGTGGCCGATCTCATCTAAACGCTTTGTGCCTGGTGGGTGCGTGTGAGCGGACGCTAGAGTGAGTATCTAGAGTGCCACTGCGTATGCAAAACGAGTTTTTTACCGGCGTCATAGTCTGTGCGAGCCCAGTGTCTCTCTCACCCCATCGTACCAAGTACGACAAACGAAACTGTCAGTTCAGTGCGTATTTTACATTATTATTAACCGACACTTTATCATTATTAGGCAGCCCTTTTGGTTTCCCGTAGATTTTAATTGTGTATCTATTATAGGTAGTTAGTTGTATTATAATTAAGGGCGCTCGTCTTCGTGCAGGGCCCCCCCGAACGGGGGGCCCCATCGCCCGCCTTTGCTATGTTTGTCTCTACAGGGGTTTAGTTGGGATCTGGAAAGGTTATTATAATTATAAACGGTGCCGGAGGAAACCTCCACGCCTTTATTTTTTGTTTTTTTCAACCACCACAACTTTCATTTACATTTTTGACTTTTGTATATTTCATTGTTTAGCAATAAAAGTGGTGAATCATATTTCGTGTCTAATTTACTCAATAAACAAATACTAAAAATATCCAAATTTTATTTATTTCAACTGCTGCACTCAACCAAATTATTATTTTTCAGTGTACAGATTTTGTTTGTTTTGACCTCTCCAAGAACCATAACCCTGTATTGAGAACCAAGGTGTGCTTGTTCACATTACATCACGATCCTTGATATAAGGGGGTTCACTGGAGGCTTTTCATTTTTATTTTTCCATTTTTTTAATAAACTAAAAGTGATGTGATGTGATGAGCCGCTGCTGTAAGCCGACAAAAACATTTTGCTCACATATTTCCTTTTTCCAGGCATCATCATTCTTATAACTACCGTCGGCATTTTGTGGGCGCCAAATGTGGAAATAAAGATCAAAATTCCGTTTTAACTAAAATACAGTGGTTTTCGTTCTATCAAACCCATTGATCCAAATCCACCATCCTTTTACAAATAAACAATAATTTTTATTAAATTATATCCTATTTTTTTATTTATTTACTTTCCGGTTATTTTAATTGATGACTAACTTATTTTTTAAACAATCACTTGGTCAGTTTTCTTTCCAATTTAATTTTGACCCCTGCTTTTAGATGTTGACAAATTTTGTACATTTCAAGTTTGAATAATATGTTTTAAGACGTGTCAAAAAGTTAAATTGTAATTATTTTTGTTAATAAACGTTATTCCAAATATATATTTCTTTAATTTTTATTTTAAAGTTTAATGCTTTCAAAATTAAAATCATGCATACTACAAGTGCAACTTTTTTTTTGCAGGCCTGATATTCAGGTCAATTCATCAACCATTAACCACTAGCATTAGTGGTTATCGTTAAATTTAATCGGCCGATAACCACTGATTCTAGTGGCTAATGTTAACGACTCATGTTAGTGAATTGGCCTGATTGTAATTTTTTTATGTTATTGGGAAATTTGGTACTCTTGGAGATTTATTAAAAAATATAACAAGGTAAGCATAGATAATAAATGAAATAAATGAAGGTAAGTAAAAATATAAAATTATTGCATTACATTTTTTATTGTAGAAACACTCTTATAAAACCCATCTTCCCCCACAGAACCCATTTCAGATAAATGCAAGCTATTAAAATCGCAACATCCAAATTCAAAATCCTTATATTTCTCCAAAATTTGTGTGGCATCAATATGAATTCTTCTTTGAAACCTTTTCTTTATATTGGTACTTTGGTCTGAATTTCTATATCTTGTATTTATAAGAGTCATGTGTAACTTAACTGAGTCTTTGTTTTCTTTACATAACCCTAAAATTTTGGCGACTTTAATACGAAAATAATATTTTATAAGTAGATGGGTACCTCTTTCATAAAAGTACTCGGAAACATCATCCACAATTTTCTGTAAATCGACTTCTTCATCATCATGTGTAATTTTTGCATTGGCATATAACACATCAACCTTTTTTGGATTATTGTTCATAATATTTATACCCTCAACTTTAATTTTTAAAGAACCATACTTTTTAAATAATGAACTAAAATGAAATATAAATTGTTATAATTGAATTAATTCACTACTTATTATTACACAAATTTTTCTTTGTACTCCTGCAAAGCTTTTGTGGCTTCGTGTAATTCTTCTTCAAATAAACAAAATACTGTGAGTGTTAAATGCAATTTTAAAGGGCTGATAAATATGCATTCTTCCATATTTTCAATACCTTCAATTTCCAGTACCGTCAAACGGGGCTAAGTGGATCTGCTGGGGTAAAGTGGATGACAACTTCCTGACGTAATATTAAAATGCGCAGTCGCGAACCTGTAACGTGAGTGCGAATTTTGCCGGCGCAAGTCAGTCTAATACACAATGGTGGTTGGGCTTATATGCGTTAATTTTCATAAACAAAAATAAGTTTGCTTAAAACAATATATGTTCTAAAATTCAGAAATGTAGATTTATCGAAATGTCAAAATTCGTTTATTTGCACAGGCGATATGTTAATATTTATGTGTATTTGACAATTGCATATCAATAACCTAACTTTTGACTTAAAATAATAAACAGTCAAGACCTTTGTGTCTTAAAGGGGAGTCCGTGTGGGATTTTTTTAATCCACTGATGTCACCTCTTGGGGCAAAGTGGATCTCGAGATCGTCAACAAAATTCTATAGGTACCTATGGATATAAAAGTATACCAATAGAATTTAATTTTTTTTTTGTTGATAAAAACATATTTTGACTTTATTTAGACTATAGACTGAGACTGTGAGAATAAAAGACCTATTTTTGAAGTTTCTCAGTGATTTGAACTATTTATATTGTTTTTCCCTTATTTTTGAAGTTTTTCATTGATTTTAATGGTTTACACTGCTTTTTCCCTACAATTTTTTTAAAATTATTATTTAATTGTGATCCACTTTACCCAGCATATGTTTAAAGTGAAATTTGTATGATTTTTAATGGATTATCCACTTTACCCCCAAACTATGGGTAAAGTGGATCACTATATATATATAAAAAAAATAGGTCATTGAAAGAGTTACAATGTGGGCAAATGGTCAATGCATAACTGAGTAACCAAGAAATGTACATTCCAAGTTTCAGGCAAAAATTTCGAATAGTTTTGGAACTAATTTGAATAAATGGATATTTTTGATCCATTTAGCCCCGGTTGACGGTACTTCAGACTAAAATTATTGAGAATTTTATATTTACAGTCACACCATGTGATAAAAAAGTATAAAAAATAACTATTTTTTTCTAATGAAAGTCAGAAAATAAATATTATTTGTATACTTTTAGGTAATATTTATTATAGTTTACTTTGAACTTATTAAAATTCTCCTGAATTTCCGTACTTAATAAAGGAATGGAAATAAAGTGAGTTGCCAAAATTTGCTTTCTTGTTTGTCCGATAGCAGAGACAAGTTCATTTGCAGCTTCCTTAATACCATCCTCACTTTGCCCCTCTATTATTATATCATTTTTGGTACCCCTTTTAGTATACTTTGGCATTAAAATACGTGTTTGCGTTTTTTGGGCAACTTCTTTTTCATTAAAATGATCATGCAGTTTTTTATTATACAGCTGCGGTAAATGAAATCTTGCGCGAAGTTTATCGTTTTCCTTGATTATTTGAATTTCGTTGTTCATTTCAACTTCAGTGGAAGTGTCTAAAATATTAACCTATGTACATAAAAATACATTTTACGAAAATATGTTTACCTGTTAATGTTTTTGCTTGGCCTTTTTTTACTTTGACCTTTGGTGGTGTAATGTTGTAGACTTTGCCGTCTATCCACATTCGTAAAGGCTTGTTTTTAATATTTTTTAGCATTTCAGCAGTTGCGTAAATAAAGAAGTGCCTAAAGTGCCATAACACAGTGTTGCCAGATATTTGAAACTCAAAGCGCCAACTTGAGAAATTCTTGTTGAAAGGGTTGATTCGCAAAATGCATTAAAAACATGCACATGCTTAATACTTTTTTTATATTTTATATATATATATATATATATATATATATATATATATATTTCTATTTATTATTTTCATAGTAAACAATTTGATTAAATAAATTGCCCAATTCGGCATCACGGTACGTATTGTGTGGGTTAAAAATCCCATGAAAAAAACATTGACATATGTCAAACTTTTGACATTGTGGTTGTTTATTTTGAAATGGCAACAATAAGGATACCAGAACAAAAAGTGATTCTTTGCGGAGAGTACGGTGTTGGAAAAAGCTCGTTGTTCCGCCGATTTACCAACAACACCTTTGTAACTGCCACCGACAGAAAATCCACATTAGGGTTGGATCATTACGAAAAAACCTATCATGTTTGTGATAGAGATGTTAAGGTGAGGTATTTTCCTCCTTTTTTATCTTATTTGATGGTTAATTGTTTTAGTTACAATTGTGGGACACTGGAGGGATGGAGAGGGTCGCTTCCATAACATCAAGCTACTATAAATTTGCCGAAGCAGCCATTCTAGTGTTTTCCTTGGATAATTCTTCATCTTTTAACGCTCTTTCGCAGCATTTATTAGATATAGTTACATATGCCGAAAGCGCAAAGATTTTTTTGTGTGGAAACAAGTCTGACTTGGTTTCTGATCTTCCACAAGTTACTGATTCAGAAATTGAAACTTTTTGGTATGAATTAGTTCATTTGAAAAAAATCACATTTCAAAAATTTTCTTTTTGTAGTGAGCAATGCCATAATTTGATATCTGGGATATACAAAACATCATGTAAAACTACATCTGGGCTTGACGATATGTTTACAGACATAGCTTTTCAATTAGTACACTCAAATAGATCAAGATTAGAGTTACAATCGATGGAAAAACATGGTTTTAAAATTTCGCCCAGCGAAGATTCCCAAGATGAAGAAAGCTGTTTGTGTTAGTTTTTAGTAAGACTTTTACAATCAATTCCGCCCCACTTTAAAAAGAACAAACTTAATTTTATCTGTAATATTCTTGGTCTTAACTTAATTTTATTGTATTATTTAAAATTTATAGACTGAGTATGGGGCACAATTGTGATAATTTTGTTACACAAAATATTTAATTTCTCCTAGAGGATCCGGCAATAGAATTTTGAATTTAATAAAAATTGCTGGACCCTGTAAATTTACAACGCTTTTAACGTTAATTTAGCTTCTTAAATTACAATGCTTTTACAAAGAAAATTGATTAGAATAGTGCCAAAGATTTAATAAAGTCTGAAAAAGAAATACAATTTATCAAATATCTGGTCCTTAATATTATTTATTTTTAGTTAAGCCTTTTGTTATTATTTAGTAAATGGTTTACAGTTTAATGTTATTTTTATTTATTATGACAACAATTTTACAGTTTTAGTGAATTTAGTACAATTTTACAGTTTTCACTGTTTTTAGGACAGTACCTAAACAGTTACTGTAAAAAATCTTTTAATTATTATGTCCTAAAAACTGTCAAAAGTTTTAGAAATATTTTACAGTTTTAGTAAATTTAGGACAATTTTACAGTTTTAGTAAAATATCTCTTTTGTCCTAAAAACTGTCAGAAGTTTTATTTATTTAATTATTTAAAATATCTTGTCCTAAAAAGTTTTACAGTTTTAGTAAATATAGGACAATTTTGGTCTATTAATTGTTTAAATTATCTTGTTTTAAAAACTGTCAAAAGTTTTATTTAGGACAATTTTGGTACTTTTAGTCTATTAATTATTTAAAATGTCTTACGTTCTAAAGACTGTCAAGTTTTTAAACAATTTTAGATTTAGCAAATTTATGACAATTTTACAGTTTTCACTCTTTTTAGGAATTTTTTAGGTACTTTTAATTTATTAATTTAGTATGAGTATGAGAACGTATGGCAGGCCCCAAATATATTATCCGCTGTCCGAGTCGGATTTCGGTTCCTGATAGCCGCTTTAGAATTGTTTGCCCCCCTGTGCGATATTGAGTCTTATCTTCAGAACCGAAGTGTTGCCGGCCGCAGCCCGCCGTAAATATTGCCCTCTGACTATGTGGAAATTCGTTTAACCTACTGGAATTGTCGACCCTCGAATTTTTTTTTTCCCACTGTGCGTGATCCCCATTCACTTGGGGTTGGGTCCATCTTTGCGCCTCACTGTGCATTGCGGCTATTATGCTTAGAACGGTTTTTACCTAATTTATGACCCTTTACGTCTTGGCAATCTATAGATGTAAACATAAATAAATAAATTTCTTTAGGATGGTTTCTTTTGCCTAATGTTTATCGTAACTTGAGTGATTAATGGCTTCTTATGTGCCCTTGTGTTTATAGTTTTTTTACTGTTTCATTTGCATGAGAATCTTGGAAATTGTTTGCGACTAATTAATTTTACCTGAAGAATTATTGTTAGTTAAAGGTTGCGTATTTCGTATTAACTATAGTTAATACGAATACTATAGTATTATTATTATTGGGTCATGGTACTTTTAATTTATTAATTATTTAAAATATTTGTCCTAAAAACTGTCAAAAGTTTTAAAACAATTTTACAGTTTTAGTAAATTTAGGACAATTTACAGTTTTCACTGTTTTGGAGACAATTTGGGTCTATTAATTATAATTATTTAAAATGTTTTGTGTTCTAAAGACTCGAGTCTTTTGATCAAAAGTTTTAGAATAATTTTACAGTTTTAGTTTTTAGGAAAATATGGGAACTTTTAATCTATTAATTATTTAAAATATTTAATGTCCTAAAAAATGACAAAAGTTTTAGAACAAATTTACAGTTATTAAAATTGGGACAATTTTACAGTTTTCACTGTTTTAAGGACAATTTGGGTACTTTTAATCTTTTAATTATATTCTGTACTAAAACTGTCAAAAGTTTTTGAACAATTTCATAGTTTTAGTAAATTTAGGACAATTTTTAAACAGTTTGTACTGTTTGACAATTTGGGTACTTTTACTCTTTTAATTATTTAAAATAACATCTCCTAAACACTGTAAAAAGTTTTTGAACAATTATACAGTTTTAGTAAATTTAGGACAATTTTAGTTTTCACTGTTTTTAGGACAATTTGGGTACTTCTAATCTATTATTTAAAATATCTTTTGTCGTAAGTTTTAATAAATTTAGGACAATTTTATAACAGTTTTCACTGTTTTAGGTACCATTTGGGTACTTTTAGTCTATTCATTATTTAAAATATCATGTCCTAAAAACTGTCAAAAGTTTTAGAACAATTTTAGTTTTCGTAAATTTAGGACAATTCGGGTACTTTTAGTCCATTAGTTATTGAAAACATCTTATGTCCCAACAACTGACAAAAATTTTAAGACATTTTATAAACCGTTAGGAGAAATTTGACAGTTCTTACATATTTGAAATCTGACAGTATACCAATATACATACTTATAATATACCATATTATTTTAAGAAAATAAGACGAAATATATATATATACTGACAAATACTTGACCTCAATTATTTGACTGCATTCCTTATTCAAATGTCAAATGTGACTTTTTGACAGTTTCACTTCAACAGTAGTGGATAAATAAAAGACTGATTGTTAAAAAGCCATAGTACATTTATTAATTGGTAAAAAGTAAACATGTATAACAGTAAAGCAAATATAACAGTCTTGAAATATATGGAATAAACTTAATAAGTAGAATTACAAAAAAAGCGGATGAAAGGCGTCTATACTGAAAACAATTTGGCAAGACACGCAGATTTATACAGGGTGTTTCAATTACGTTAGTTTTATTTAAAAAAATTATATATTTATCCAGAGAATATTTGGATTCATCCTGCATAAACCCTGCAATAAAACGACACCTTTCACCCAACACAGCATCATATCTGCTTTTTCTTCTTATCAGTGTGCAGCAATTGATCGACACTACCATACTTACTCGACGAAGATTCCAAATCCAATTCGCCGCTTCGATTGTCACCTGGAAACGTTGCATTCAAGTTTACAAAGGACGCGGCTGATGCTTTATTAATCTCTAAATCGTCTACAGTCTTTAATTTATGTGTTACAAATTTCGGTGGGTTGGTGGTTGCAGGCAGTCGGCGCACATCTTGTCACGTGACCTTGTAGAAGTCGTTGAAGCTGAGCCGCACGCTGAGCAGCTGCAAGTTCATGTTGGAACTGGACGACAAAAGTCGCAGGTAGCGGTGCACGCAGTTCGTGTACCGGTCCGAGACGACGTTAACGTTGTACTTCGTGCTTTTAACGAAAGTCTGGAAGGCGGCTTTGCGCGCGTTTGCCGTTATTTCGTACTCGTTATTCACCCCGAAGTCTTCGGGGTTTTCCGCCAGCATTTCGTAGTCGCAGATGGCCGCGTGCTCCTCCTCCGCGGCCGCGTACAGGCTCGACTGGTAGGTTTCGAATTCGAGAACAAGCGTGTAGATGCTGTTCAGTGCATTGAAAATTTCCTGTAATATAAAACTAACAAAATAGAGAGAGATTTAATGCAAAGAAGACATAAACTTGCCCTGTATTCTGGATCCAGCAGAACCCCTTTCTTGACAGAACCCAGGAATGTCCTGTGAGCATTGATAATGTCGTCCAAGCTTTCAGCCTTGTTCACTTGGTTTAACATTTCAGCCCAAGAACATTCCAACACCTCAAACAAAAAGTAATACTGGGTTTGATGCAGAAAATGTATCATCTCGCTGGTTAGAACGTGGATTTTGTGCATTACAGGTTTTAACTCTAAAAAGGAAAAGAAAGTTTAACCTAAACTGTTTAAGCCACATTTTTTATGTTTTAGTTTTTCAAAATTTTACACACTTTAGGGCGTTTTAATAATTTTAGATCAATTTAGACAACTCTTAGATAAATTTAAGACACTACATTTCAAATGACTGTTTTATGATATTTTTGGAACAATTTAAGCACATCTAAGATGATTTTAGGACACAAGACATTTTAAATTCGCTGTTATAATATATATAATATTTTAGGGTAAAAACATTTTAGTTCCGACAGGTTACTTTGTAGCCTACCGGTATTATAGTTTGCGAGAGTGCGTAAGCAGCGGTGAGAGGTATCGCTACTATATTTGTTTATGGCTGTTATTTAATTTAATTTTTATGATTTTTTGTAGCAATTATTACAAATTTGGGACGATTTTAGGATAAAAGACATTTTAAATCTGACTATGACATTTTAAAACTGCTTTAGGACAATTAAGACAAATCCAAGATAAATTCAGGACACTTCATTTCAAATGACAGTTTTATGACATTTTTAGAACAATGTAGGTACAGCTAAGATGATTTTAGGACACAGGGCATTTCAAATTCGCCTTTTTTATCATTTTAGGACAAACATTTCAGTTACGAGTTTAATTTGTAGCCTACCGGTATTTATAGTTTGCGAGAGTACGTAAGCAGCGCGCTGCAGCGGTAAGAGGTATCGCTACAATATTTGTTTATAGCTGTTATTTAATTACATTTTAATGATTTTTTGGAAAAATTTAGTTTCCAAATCTGACTGTTACGGCATTATTTGACAGTTTTAAGATTATTAAGAATTCCAAGATGATTTTAGGAAAAAAGACATTTAAAATCTGACTATGACATTTTAAAACAGTTTTAGGACAATTTAAACAAATCCAAAATGAATTTAGGACACTATATTTCAAATTTTGTGCATTACAGGTTTTAACTCTAAAAAGGAAAAGAAAGTTTAACCTAAACTGTTTAAGCCAAATTTTAATTTTAGGACATTTTTTATGTTTTAGTTTTTTAAAATTTTACACACTTTAGGGCGTTTTAATAATTTTAGATCAATTTAGACAACTCTTAGATAATTTTAAGACACTACATTTCAAATGACTGTTTTATGATATTTTTGGAACAATTTAAGCACATCTAAGATGATTTTAGGACACAAGACATTTTAAATTCGCTGTTTTATAATATTTAAGGGTAAAAACATTTTAGTTCCGACAGGTTACTTTGTAGCCTACCGGTATTATAGTTTGCGAGAGTGCGTAAGCAGCGGTGAGAGGTATCGCTACAATATTTGTTTATAGCTGTTATTTAATTACATTTTAATGATTTCTTGGAAAAATTTAGTTTCCAAATCTGACTGTTACGGCGTTTTAAGATTATTAAGAATTCCAAGATGATTTTAGGAAAAAAGACATTTAAAATCTGACTATGACATTTTAAAACAGTTTTAGGACAATTTAAACAAATCCAAAATGAATTTAGGACACTATATTTCAAATGACAGTTTTATTGCATTCTTAGAACAATTAAGGGACATCTAAATTGATTTTAGGACACAAGACATTTGAAATTCGCCATTTTATAACATTTTAGGACAAATAAAATTTCAGTTCTGACAGGTTAATTTGTAGCCTATCGGTATACTTATAGTTTGCGAGCGTAAGCAGCGGTGAGAGGTATCGCTACTATATTTGTTTATTGCTGTTATTTAATTAAATTTTTATGATTTTTTTTATAGCAATTTTAACAAGTTTTTGGGATAATTTAGTTTCCAAATCTGACGGTTATGGTATTATTTGAGAGTTTTAGGATATTTAGAAAATGCAAAGATGATTTTAGAACGAAAGACATTGAAAATTTGACTATGACATATTAAAACAGTTTTAGGACAATTTAGACAAATCCAAGATAAATTAAGGACACTAATTTAAATCAGTTTAAAAAAAACACTTAAAAGATCTAAAACTAAAGCACAATAATATCTCTACATTATTTAAATAAATTTATATGCATATAAAAACTATCACAATATATAAAATTGAAAAAATCGTTTTAAAAATAAAAAAAACAAAAAAATAATTTTTTGTTGATTTTTTTAATAAAAAACATCGATTTTTTTTAAATCATAATTTTTTTGAAGATGAAGATGATTTTAGGACACAAGACATTTTAAATTCGCCGTTTTATAACATTTTAGGACAAAAACATTCCAGTTCTGACAGTTTAATTTGTAGCCAACCGGTATTTATAGTTTGCGAGAGTGCGTAAGCAGCGGTGAGAGGTATCTCTACTATATTTCTTTATAACTGCTATTAAATTAAATTTTTATGATTTTTTGTAGCAATTATCACAAAGTTTTGGGACAATTTAGTTTCCAAATCTGACAGTTTCGGCATTATTTGACAGTTTTAGGACAATTAAGACAAATCCAAGATGACTTTAGGATATTACATTTCAAATGACATTTTTAGAATGATTTAAGATGATTTTAGGACACGAGACATTTTAAATTCGCCGTTTTATAACATCTAAAAACATTTCTGTTCCGATAGGTTAATTTGTAGCCTATAGGTACTTATAGTTTGAGAGAGTGCGTAAGCAGCGGTGAGAAGTACGCTACTATATTTCGTTATAACTGTTATTTAATTTAATCTAAAGGATTTTTTGTAGCAGTTATTGTCATTTTACCAAGTAAAAAATATCTGGAATTCGTCATCAAAACGATGTTTTTTTTGGGATGTTTAAAAGATATCTAATAGATGTTCTTTGGAGATTGGTGCTGTGTGGGAGCAAAATAAAATGTAAAACTTACCTTTTACTTTTTTAAACAGCTTGGCAATAGTAATCTGTTGCTTTCTCATATTGGCAAGCACAAATTCCATCCGTTTTGCCTTCCACAAAGCCCCAAATAGGGACTTGTAAGTCGACATGGTAGTTTGGAAAATGGACCCGACCGGCCCGTCTATGATGTAGCACAGGCTGAAAACGTCCCAGCCCTTGTCGCCGTGAGAGCAGCCGCCGAAACTGACCGTCAGACGTTTTAACGTGTCTTCGTCTTCAAACTGAGCGTTTGTCACTCTTATAGCAGATTCCAGGATTGCGCTAAGAGTGTGGCCGTAGATTTCGTTCGCGTTTTTGCACAGTTCAGGGCTAAAATAATACAAACATTTCTTAAATGTACAAAAAAATGGCCGAAACTTTACTCACACAAGTAGTTCAAGCAAATGCCTGATGAAATCTCCTTGACCCAACAAAAGATACCTTCTTAAAGATTGCAAATGTTCATACAATCTGAATTTGTTCTTTAATAGATCCAAAACTCTTAGAGAAGTTTCCCTGTACACGTTCTCCAGAGTTGTGTGGAATTCAATATTTTGTCCTGTCGCAAATAATGCTTCAGCTGTGAGAAATAAAAACATAGTTGATAGTCTTTTTAATGACAATATTTTTTAACACATCTAAAAATAATCAAAATTTTTGTATTTTTAGTTAAATAATTTATTTATGGTTTTAGCAAGGCTTTTTTGAGTTTTTTTTTTGGTTTGGGGATTTTTGTAGAATATTCACAATATTAATTTGCGTTCACGAAAAATATTTATTTTTTATGATTTAAGCCACAATCCCCAAACAAAAAGGTCTCTTCAATCTTATTTCGCGCATACTAAAAATCAAGAAGTTAGGCAACCCACTGCACAAACTTTAACGGCGGCCATTTTTATGTTGTTTACAGTTCTTGTAATTTTCTATACCCGGAATCCAATTTTGTCCCTCCTGGGTCAAAGTCAGCTATGTTTCACACTTTGTCATCGAGCGATGTGCAACACACACAAGAAAGACAAAATCGAACTGGATTGAGACCCTTGATCATATTGAAATATAATATAATGTTTAATTAGGCAGGTAAATTTATAAACCCTTTAAATTTTAGTGTTGAACTTTTTTTTTGTAAAATAAATGCGCTTCATCAATATTTAAGTATAAACAAATTATTTATTTAATAATGTTTATAAATTAAAAAATCTTAATATTTATTATTAATTTTTTATTTAATTATTAATACCGTCTATTACCAACAAAATTACTATTTATTAAAAAGTAAACAACCATTTACAAAAAATTAAAATAATTTATTATTTACATTACCACCTGTAGGGTAGGAGTACCATTAGCGGCCATTACACCAGTTCCGGCCCCTTGAAATTTGTATTTGATTTATTAAATAGGGATATAATTGCATGCCAAAATTTAAATTTACCGCGTGAAATCAAATAGTTTTTGCCCCTACTTATAAAAAGTATCGGTAGATAGCACCACTGAAGTTTTAATGGCGGATACGTGAAATCAGCTGTGTGTTGTTTGGTAATATTTCTTAAAGTTTTCGCTAAGAAAGAAGGGTAAGTTCATATATTAATAACTTTTTGGGTCACTTAAATAGTAGTAGCAAACATTTAGTTACAGGTTATCGATACTCCAAGATTTATATTTTTGTTTAAAGTGCTTGTATAAAATTACATTGTATTTATTTAATTAGGGTGGCCGGAACCGGAGCATAGAAATATACAAAATATCCGGTTACGGCCATCCTAGTGGCCTCAATAGGAGTATGGTTTTCGAGTTGCGGCCATAGTGGCCGAATTAGGTACTTACCTGTATGTTATTCGGCCACAATTTTTTTAATTTGGGTTTAGGTAAAAAATACCTATTTTTTTAAAAACCTTTTTATTTTAGAACCTAATGGCAAAGACTAAGAAAATTCATAAGAAAACTTGCTTTAACCCAACATTGTTTAATTACAATGCCGAACAGCTCAAAAATGCACTGGAAGCCGTTAAGAATGGGATGCCAGTTTTAACAGCCTCCAAAACCTTTAAGATCCCAAGAAGCACTCTTAGGTATAAAGCATCTGGTGCCCGGCCAGAAAGTTTTGGAAAGGTCGGCCCAAATTGCGTTTTGGGAGATGATGTTGAAAAGTTGTTGTGTGATTGGATGAAAGCGTCTTGTGCAAAAAGTTTTCCGGTAAACAAAGATGGTCTTTGTTATTCTGTACAAAAGATCGCCAATGAAACCAAACAAAAAACTCCTTTTACCAACAATCGTCCTAGGCGGAAATGGTTCGAGTCGTTTATGAGTCGTCATCCAGAACTCTCAGTTAAGCAATCGGAATACATTAGCAAGGCTCGCACCGCTGTTACAGCTGAAAAAATGGTTCCAAAATACCTTGGATGATCTAGGGAACCACGCAACAGTGCTTGAGGATCCAAAACGTTTATGGAATATGGATGAGACAGCTTTCTACCTTAACCCAAGTGGAGGCTGCGTTATAGCTGAAAAGGGCAAACACGTGTATGCTACGTCTATGAATAGTGACAAAGAAAATGTCACTACTTTGATTTCTGTTAATGCGGTGGGCGATTATGCTCCCCCGTTAACTTTATATAAATTTGAGAGAATTCCAGCAACATACTTTAAGTCGGCACCACTTCATTGGGGAATTGGTAAATCCAAAAATGGGTGGATGACTGCAGAGACATTTTACGATTACATGGTTAACGTTTTTCATCCGTTTTTAATTGAACAAAAGTATACTTTACCAGTAATAGTGTTTTTGGATGGGCATTCCTCACATTTAAGTCTCCAGTTAAGCAAATTTTGCAGAGGTAACGGCATAATTGTAGTGTGCTTATATCCAAATACCACCCATATTTTACAGCCACTAGATGTAGCAGTCTTCTTCCCACTTAAATGTCATTGGAAAAAGGAATTACGAACCTGGAGAATGGAACATAATGGAAGGGAAATCCGCAAACAAGATGTACCAAATCTTTTAAATAGTATATTAACAACAATATCATTCAAAACAACCATAATTAATGGATTTCGAAAATGTGGGCTTTACCCATATGAACCAAATAATGTCGACTACAGCAAGTGTGTTAAAAAAAGTTCGACAATTCCAATTCAACCCTACGAAAACCAAACTTTAAATCCAGAAATTGTTAACATAGATTACCTCAACTTTAAGAAAGAATGCTTATCTTATATTGAAAAAAAAATAGAGGCAGAAGTGTTATCTGAGTTTATAGAAAAGCATCAGCAACAGAAAAGAACAGATAAAAGAGAAGCTCAAATGTTATTTGATGTCTGGGAAAGCATAAAGTGCGATATAGACTTAAATGAAGATAAAGAAGTTTTCGACAATTCTCCTAATTTTCAAGAAGACATATTGGAATTTCCTTTTCCTGAATTTGACCAAGTTACGGCTGAAAATTCATCGACGACAGATACAGATGATCTTTCTTGGATCTGTAAAACCATTGACAAAGAGGAGATAAAATTGTTTGATGACAACAACCTCGACAACGAAATCGATAAAAATTTGGAAATATCAGATTTGTTTAGTAATCAGACAAAAATTTTAATAGAGCAGATTGATGAAGCTAACGACAAAAATATCGCAATTGATGTTAAAACTCAAGACCAAGCATCCAACAATCCAGAAAATAAAACCAAACCAATAATAAGTGATAACGATACCAGCGAAATAGAAAAACCAAAGCAAAGTGATATAGATATTAACATCGATTTGAAAAAGAATATTGTGATTAAAGCTACAAATGAAAGCAATTGTGATAATATAGAATCTAAAATTTCAACAAATAAGACTGATGAACAAACCTTGGGTTGTGAACACAAAATTAATGAAGAGAGGAATAAAGAAAATATGGATTTAAATACACAAAAAATTAATATTTTAAGCAATATACTTGTAATACCTGAACAAAAGATTAACCTAGTAGCCAAAAAAAGGACCTACACCTCAAGTGTTTTGACCAGCGCGAGTTGGATTGAAATGGAAGAAAAAAAAGAACTTATTAAACTTGATGCACTTAAGAAGAAAGAAGAAAATAAGAAAAAAAGAGATGAAAACAAGCAAAAGCGTATAGAACAACAGCAAAACAAAAAGAAAAAACACCATACAGAATCCAAAGAAATAAAAAATATTGAAGAACAAGACAAAATCTACAAAGAATCAGACACAAACCATGGCTCAACATCACCAATTATAAGCAATGTTCAAGAAAAACTAATAAACGAAAAACCCGAAACACAAGAAGAACAAAAAAAGGATAAAGTTCAACTGACGTTTAAAGATCAGAAAAAATTGGAAGAAAATACACATGTTATTGTTAATTATGAAGATAACTTTTACCCTGGCGTAATTACAAAAGTTCGTGATGATGAATATTTTATAAGTACAATGACAAAAACACTGAACCACTGGAAATGGCCCGAAAAAATAGATGAAATAATCTATAAAGAGGACGAAATTGTTAAAATTATTAGTGCTCCCCAGAAAATTAATTCTAGGGGTGTTTTTTCGGTTCCTGAAATTCTTGAGTTAATTGAATAAAAAAAAAAACGTTTTTACATATGGTTAAAATTTACCTGTACCTGTACTATTTTAGTAAATTCTTGTTTTAAATAGGTAGGTAATATAATTTAATTTGTCATAAGTTTTTTTTAATAAATGTTTTAATATTTTTGGGCAAACTTATTCTTTTTCCCCTTAAAACCACTTATGGCCTCAACTGGTACAATTGCTGGCCCCTACTGGTACTTCTGTGGCCGGAAGTGGCAAAAATGGGTTTGCTAGCCTTTATTGTTTAAAAGTGGTTTTAAATATTGTTTTTTCTATATTTTTTCGTAAATAAATTAATCTTTAGATAAATAACAACATTCCAAATTACATTTGGCCCAAATGAAACAAGAATCATTAAAAATATACAACTTGGAATAAAAAAAAATCCTTAATGTGGCCGCAACCGGTACTCCTACCCTACAGTAAAAAATGGCCGATAAGCATTTTCCTTTGAAGTAGTTTTCGCTACTTTAAAGTTTTTTTCCACCTTAATTTACTTTACGGTAGTTTTGGTTAGTACCATAAACGTTCTAAATACTAAAATAATAACTTTTAAGTTATTAACTTTGTAGTTTTTAACTCATGTTCCAGTTTCGAGATTTTAACTTGAAAAGGGACTACAAAGTAAAAATAATTATAATGTAGTCTTTAGGTAGCAACCGAAAGTAACTTCTACAAATTAAATTTATTTGAAAGTTTTTTTACTTATAAAAGTTGCAAAGTCTTCTTGGGGGCAACCAAGTTTTACTTAAATGTTTATTACTTTATAGTAAATTAAACAAATAATATTTACCTGAAGTGTTTTTAAACAATCTCTGCAAACTCTCTCTGCCAGGCAACTGGCCCCCATCCTTACAAATCTGCCTCAAGAAATTAATACTTTTTCCGGTGGCCAAAATTTTATTGGCCTGGTTCATGGTGATAAACGATGGCACCATGGGTTTTCTGACAAAGTATTTGTTATCCCACAACTCTTCGGCGCTGGATATGGATTTTATTTCTATGAAAAATTCGTTACAGGGATCGTTTATTTCGCCGTCCAGCAACCAGCGGGACAACATTATGTACAGAGGTTTGCAAACTGCAGTTAAAACTTTTTCGGATACCTAAAATCGTTGGGGTTATGTAAAGTATTAAAAACTACAGCATTTACATACCTCCTGTGCACACCTTGAACCGTGCTGCAAAAATCCATGGATGGCTGAAATTAGGGCTCCTCCCTTTTTATCAGAACACTGCTCGGCAATATAAGCCAGCCATTCGAATTTGGCATGGTGATCATAGAGTATAAAAATTGCCCTTCTTAAAGACATATCACTGGACTTCATCTAAAACACAAAAATATTTATCAACACTATAAACTTTCATAGAGTTCTAACTTACGTTGGCTTGCAACAAAGCGATTGTCTTGTAATAAGCCGACAATTCCTCTCTTAAAGTGGAAACCAACGATTGGCAAATTATACCGCTCTGTTTATCATTTTCATCGCAGTACTGTTTCAATTGGCCGTGAAAAAACGATGTTCCCAGCAACCTATCGACAAGGCCTTTCTGTATGGGCGTTAAATTTTTTCCCACTTTAAAATCTACCGCAAAACCCAGACCACCGACTTCTTTCCTTAGGTATTTGCTTTCAATGCCTTGCAGAGAGTAAATAACGTCTTGGAGTAGTTCTGATTCGGTTACGGGGCTCAAACTTAACGGTTTACCGGATAGGTATTCTCTCGACCAGACTTCTTGAGATGATACTGTAGTAGCTTGTGATGACTTAAAAATAAAAATATTACAGTTTAAACCTAATATCATCATGAATATATTTATAGATGTGCAATATTATTAATAATAACATAGGAGGTGGTGCTCTAGTGCAAGGTGATCCAAGGTTGAAAATAGGTAAATCAAATCCCCCACATTTTTCCTAGTTTACATGCACCACACCAGCAGACTTATAGAGGACAATTTATTTACAAAAGCATCTCAGTATAAATATGAAATCATCATAGAAGACTTTAATGTCAATAATAAAAGGAAAAGACAAATCCAAAACTTCCTAACCAATTCTGATTTTATCCAAGTTTATACCCCGCCAACTACGAAATTCTCCAGTCAATAATTCCCAATGAGTCTATCTCTCCCCAAACAATCAACTCCTTCCTGGAAAATATTACAAGCATTCCACTAAAACACACCCCTATTATAATACTAAAGACAAGCTTTTTTGTACATACATTGCCACCTTCCATTATAAAAGTAATTAAAATTAAAAAACAACTACAGAGAGATAAAAAAAACAATTACGACCCTATACTTAAAAGAAAATACAAAAACTAATTTTACAATACCGTTCATCAAAATACCTAGAATCTTCTCAAAAAATTAATTTATCAAAGGGTAAGTCATACTGGTGCAAAATAAAGAAACTTTCAAAATATAAAAAAACAAGCTTTTTCGCTATATAAAAGAAAACAACAAAATTCTACAAACAGAGCAAGACATGGCAGATGCCTTTGCTAGACAATTTGAAAAAACTTACAAGTTTACGGAAAATGCAATATTTAGCGAAAACATTAAAAATGAGATCAATTGGGTGGGAGAATACTTTGATCAAAGAAACCTAAATGAAGATATACCTATAGGTAACATTATAATGTTACAGAGGATGAATATTTTGAGTGTTTAAACAGAAAAAATACAGCACCAGGCCGCGATAACATTCCCAGAATGGTGCTAAAACAATTGGATCAGGAAATTCATGATAAAATAATCAAAATTTTTAACTTTTGTCTACTTAAAAACTACTTTCCGAGTGAATGGAAAAAAGGATTAATTATTACCACTCCCAAACCTAACGTGGATCACGCTAACCCTGCAACCTACCGGCCCATCACCTTATTGCCCGTAATTGGAAAAACCTTCGAAAAAATAATTAAAAATCGCTTAAGCCCGTATTACAGTCTGCAATTACTTGCAGCAACTTTCTTGCATGCAAGTTTTATTGCTGACTGTAAAACACTTTGCAATTTTAACCGAACTGGTAATAAAAATCGAGTAGGACCGATAATTTGAAACGGTAATAAACTTGCACGAAACGTCGCTATGCGCATGCCTTCGTGCAAGATAGTTGCATGTAAGAAAGTTGCTGCGAGTAATTGCAGACTGTAATACGGGCTTTAGAACAGACCATTGAACACAAAAAACTGGTAATATTGGAATGTCCGGAATATCTGGTATGGTTGATAAAGGAATTGCTCACACAAAGAAAATTACAAGTTAAAATTGGCAACAAATTAACGTCGTCCTTCTCACCAGAACAAGGAGTACCGCAAGGATCACCGTTGTCACCAATTTTATATAACTTATATTGTTATGACATGTACCCCAATCCCCTGTATATAAGCGGCCAGAGCTATATTCTACAATTTGCTAATGATACAGTTCTAATAATCCATCGCAAAACGACAACAGCAGCAAGTGTAAAACTACAGGAACTAACTGACCAGGTATCAGCATGGATGTCCAAGTGGAGAATTCTGCCTAGTCCATCAAAATCGCACCTTTTACTGTTTCACCACAAAATTAAAGCAAATTCACCCACTATCAACATCATGTCATTAAGTATATCAAAAATATTGTCTTGGGTGACAAAAAAAAATTATGGTGAAAGTTTGAGTCCATAATATTAATATTAAGAGGTCTATCATCGCAATTTTAGATTTTTTTTTCCTGAGCGAGTTTTTGTCTCAGAAATCCCAAACCATTGAGTTTAACAAAATTGACTTAAAAACATTTTTTGAAGAAAATTGAATTTTCTACAAAAAAGGTAAAATTGGAATTTCCCGTCAGATGAACCGTTTTCTTACAATCATGGCTTAAAAATTGGTATAGTTTTACAATTTGATCTTTTAACTTTGGAATTTTGTAATTCATGTAAAAATCAATACCCGGAAAAAAACCGATAAATATTCTTATGGAAAATCAAATGCTCTACAAAAAAAGTCTCCTAACATTTTTGGCTAAATTCGCTCCATCAAAAGTTATTCAAGGTTAAATTTGAAGTCAAAACGAAATTCTTGTTTTTGCCCCTCTAGATTTTTTTTTGGGTCAGTTAAAATGATATGATGATGATGATGATGATAATCTTTATGTTATTCATAAAATTACTGAAAATTAAAAAAAAATAACACATTAGAGTTTTTCTTTAGAAAATATTATTTTCACTGTTTACCTATTTGTTCACTGTTCGCCTATTTAATCGTTTAAATAATAACAATCATGTTGTTTTTTAATGGAAATTGTTAATTAGTTATATAATACACATTTATTAAGAAAAAAATCAAATTATCACCTATAAAAAAATAAATCTACAGAGGAAAAAACAAATATTTCGTTTTGACTTCAACTTTAACCTTCAATAACTTTTGATTGAGTGAATTTAGCCAAAAATGTTAACAGGCTTTTTTTGTAAAGCATTTGATTTCCCATAAGAATATTCATCGGTTTTTTTCTGGGTACTGATTTTTACATGAATTACAAAATTCCAAAGTTAAAAGATCAAAATGTAAAACTATACCAATTTTTAAGGCATGATTTTAAGGAAACGGTTCATCTGACGGAAAATTTCATTTTAACCTTTTTTGTAGAGCATTTAATTTTCTTAAAAAAATATTTTTGAGTCAATTTTGTTAAACTCAATAGTTTGGGAGTTCTGAGACAAACTTGCTGAAGAAAAAAAAATTTCAGATGATAGACCTCTTAATATTAATATTATGGACTCAAACTTTCACAATAATTTTTTTTTGTCAACCCAAACCATATTTTCGATATACTTAAAAAAAAAATAGTTGATTTTTTTGGCCCAGTCTACTGCATCCATTTATAAACTAATTTGTCAGCCAGTTTTGGAATATGGATCTGCACTCTTTCAAAATTGCAGAAAACCGACCCTCTCAAACATCAAGATAGGAGAACATACAAGTCTGAGGAAAATTACAAAAATCTGACACCCCCAAAACCCTTTATTTAACCCATCCAATGAACCCCTTTACCGCATAACTAAAGCCCAACCCATCCAAAAAATACTTGTATAACTTGCACAAAAATTTGCAAGTAAAAATCACTTTGATGGAACCATTGATATACCAAACCAATCCTGAGAACACCCAAAAGAGAAAATACCCTGATAGGCCACTGTTGACACACTGAAGCTATGGGCGGAAGAATAGCAGCTTACACTGATTTATTTCATCCATAGTAGTTTTGTCCTTTTAACAAATTTTTTGAGGTTAGGTTTGTGGGTATTCAGACAGGAAAATTTAAAACTTATTTTAAATTCGCCGACGTTTTGAGGGCATTTTAAATATTATAAATTTGTTGTAAATGAATATTTATTGTAAAAAGGCAGAAAGACTAAGGTTGTTAGCCTTTTTTAAGTAATCCAATAAAGTTTATTTCTATTTATTTATTTATATTTACCATGAATCTTGTAGTGCTAGACTGCACAGAGGAATATTTCTTAATATCTCTCACATCAAGAATGTCCTTGAGGCTTTCCTGCGATCTCACAGTACTTAAAAAGTTTGATCTTTTTGAGGACACATTCGTCTGAGAATTAACTTTCTCCAAACCTTGCAGTAATGTGAACTTTGGACAATCATTCTGTGATTTTGCCAGGTTTAAAAGAAAGCGTAATGTGGCTGGCCTTTGCTTTAATATATTCTAAAAAGATTATTAATTATTTACCTCCTTGTAGTTTTAATTATTAAATAACACATACAGATTTACAGATGTTATTATACAACAAATCGAACTTCTCCAAATATTCAGGGTTTTGCTCACTTAATAACTCTTTGATCTGTGATATAAGAAAGGCTTCATCGCTGGTTACAGTACTTGACTGTGAGGTTGATAAAAACGTAAACGCCAATTTATATAAACTCGATACAGTACCTTAAATAACACATTAAATAAACCCACATACAATCCTTAAACGTTCTTACTATCATCGTTTTTTCCCAAATGATTACATAGAGCCAAAACCGACTCTGATATGCTGAGCGTTTCGCTTGTAGAAGTCATCGTGAATTTTTCAATATTGATTCATTTGAGAGGTGTTTTGATGTATTTCGGTTGAAAAAATAACCGATTTTGCTCGATTTACTTCAGTGAGAATTTTAAATGCACACTGACAACTGACATTTTAAACAATTTTTAGGGCGACATCTGTCGATGAGTTTTAGTTTCAAAGAACTGTCAGTGCCTTATGCAGGGGGGTATAAGGGGAATTTGACAACAGGCAACAGTAAAATAAATCTAGCATGCGTTGAAACCCAAGTTGTTTTTGACAAACCCCAGTTATTAACCACGTGATTCTTACTTTGTTGTGATTGGTCTTTTCCAACTTGTTCGTTGATGTTCGGTTTGAGAAATTACAAATGGCCGACAGCGTTGTTAAAGTGGTGTGGACGAAGTTTTATAATCCAAATTTTCTTTAGCTGGCCATACACAGGCGTTATTTCGCGCGGTTTATCGTGGCGTGTTGGGATGTAGCGGTTAGTATGCACGAAAGAACGGCATGGCAAAAAAAGCGTCATGTTCCATACACTTGATAAAGTATTCAAATGATTTAGCAAGTGATTGCCCGTGGTATATCAGTTTCAAAGGAAAAATCGTATGTGAGTGGGCAAAAAGTGTCATTTATCGAGTCGTTTGAAACTGCGTGTGATCATGTACAAATTTTCAACGTGAAATTTTGCCAAGCAAAGGTAAACCGTGACGCGGAATGTGGCGTGTGGACACGCCACACTCCAGAGAAAAGCACGTCTGAAATCCCTTCCCGTTCTATCATTTCGCACGGCGATACTCACTCACGTACATGATTTTCCATATGTTTTTGCAGATAAAACGATAAACCGCGCGCAATAACGTCTGTGTATGGCCAGCTTTTGTTTTAGGTAAGTAAACTTGTTAATTTCGGCTTTAACATTTTATTAGGTGTTTTTAGTCAAGTTTGAGTTAGTTGTAGCATCATTACCGCGTTTAAAATAAGAAAATACGTGTGATAAACCGTATCGGTTTTTTTCTCTATGTTTACCGAAAACACATGTAGTTAATAAAATTCTTTTTATGTAATGAAACCTATGGCAAAGAGTAAAGACTAACTAATGCAAGTTTTGATAGAATTTAAATAGTTTTAAAGCGTTTTGATTCAAAACTTTCAATCAAAACAGTTTTTAACGTTTTTTTTCTCGACACTAGTTGCTGTTATACAAAATGTTAAATATACCTATAATCTTTGTCAAAATGTATGTTTTTGTTAAAATTATTTGATGTAGCTACGCGAAAACTGGACCTGGGTCCAGGGCCCCACTACATTGGCATTTGGTGGAGCGGAGGTTATTGAACGAACAGCCCCCTCATCGGTGGATCGGACGTAAAGGGCCCAACAATTTGGCACTTCATGTATGGTCAACACGTTCAACCGATATCACAGTGTGCGACTTCTTTCTCTGGGGCTTTATAAAAGATAACGTTTATGAGCCCCAAGATTTGTAAAAGCTGAATACACGAATTGGAACTGCTGAGTATCTACAAGATGTTTGCAGCTGGAAGAGGTCATATTAAACACTTGTAAGCATACAGTTCAAAACTTGATTATATTACAAATGTTTTGTGCTTTTCATGTTTTTTTTACATAAATATAGCATTTTGAACTACAGGGTGATAATCTTTTACAGTATTTTTATAGTTATTTTATTTGAAGGGGTCAATGCAAGAAGTGTCTAAGTCACATTTTCAATTAAATTGTTATTGTGGCTTCATCCAAGAGTTTTCACATAAGTTGAAAACCAGGCAAACTCCCATTGAAGTAAATGCAAACTAAGGCACTTGGGCACATATTTCTGCCACTTTGAAAATACCACCTGAAACCTTATGTGAAACACTCTTAGATGAAGCCACAATGTAAATTTAATTGAAAATGCGACTTAGGCACTTAAGTGCTAGAATTCTTGCATTGGCCCCTTCATTTGTTCTATCTGAAAGTCTGACATTTTTAATGTACATAAAAAACTAGAAAATTCATAAGCAAACCTTTTAAAGAATTATTTTTAAAGTTTTTAATTCAATTATTTTTTGCTACAATATAAATTGATTTTAATTTAATATAATTAATTTTAGCTTCTGCAATAATGGAACAATTAGACAAGATTTATCCTGCATGAAGAAAAAGAATGAAAGCTTTACTCGTCAATCCCAAACAGAAATATTTGACCAATTTTTTTTAATAATAGGTAGATATATTTTTTTTATTTAGAATACATTTTTAGTTACAATTGGTGGTGTGTGAATATTTTTACCAAATAAATTAAGTAGTAATATTTAATTCAAACTTAAAATTAAATATTTAAACTACATAAATAGTTTGAATTATTTGAATAGTTCAATAATTACAATCATAATCTATTCAAATAAGTTAATTAAGGGTTAATGACAAGTAAATAACATTCTTTTTATTTCAAAATAAATTTTAAATTACAATTCCAATGTTCCATTTCTTCAATTACTATTGAAAAATTTTAATTTTCTAATTGAACCATTTAAAAATTTGAAACATTCAAACTATTCAAATAATTCTTGAATTCAATATTCACACATCCATAGTTACAATCCAAATATAAAAAAAGAAAAAGCCTGACCATTAAAGAAAGTACACTTTTAGTATTTACTCCAAATATAATTAAATTGTTTATTGTTAAAACAAGCAATCTGACATTTTTATATTACATACACTTCTGCTTTAAATTATTATTTTGAGGCAGAAATATTTTATTTAGGATTTTTATTAGGATATTAAAAAAGGATATTTTCATGTTAAAACCATTATTAGTTTTAATAAGATTTATTATTAGTTTTAATAAGATTTTTAAATTAAAAAATAAACAAAATCATATTTAGTTAGTTACTTAGCTTGTTTTTACAATAAACCATTCAATTATTTTTATGCTGGTAAAACAATTACCTTTAGCATAAATAAGTAGCATAAATATTGATACATTATTTTTATTTTATTTTAAAAATTATTAGGTAATATCAATTGTTTTACAATTTAAATTGATTTTAAAATTGGTATTGATTTCAGGTTTGGGTTTGTGTTAATGGAAGAAGCAGACAGGACTTGAATTTATCAAACTTCTTTGCAAAAGAACATAGAAAATATTAATTGCAGTTGAATATTCTTCATTGAATCAAGAAAAAGAATCATGAACAAGAAAAAAGACAATTAATACTTAATATTGACCAGAAAGTTAAATCATACATAAAGATTTTAATTTTGCCAAATACATAATAACAATATTTTTAACATTGGTTCTATTGATTATTAATTTTAATTAAACCAATTTTACTAAAAATTAAATATTCCAAAGAATGTAATTTAATTTTTGGATAAGTAGGAATTCCTTTTTGCCAAAAATTCTATATTTTACAAAACTACAGTATTGTGCTTATTTTAAAAACAAATTATAATCATAATTCCTAAAAATTATGGCATTAAACATTTTAGGCATAAGCCTTTTGGTTTATTCCAATAAAGAAATTTGGAAATACCTATAGGTATACAATAAGTCAGTATGTATTACAAAATTATTTATTTTTATGAATTACATATTCAAAGTTAAAATAATTTTAATTATATAATATACTCGAACTGTTTTAAAAGGTTGTTTTCTAATAAGGACCAATAAGTATTGAACTATTGTTTATCAAGAATTTATCAAATATTTTGATGGTTTGTAATATGTTTTAGAGTTAATTTGTTTATAAACCTTTGCATTTTTATTAAGAAATCTTAAAAAACCTATAAAAATTGTTATTATGTGACACAAAATTAAAATTTCTGAACATTATCGCTGTAATCAAGCGATAATTGTCTTGTAGGCATATATAAGAGTGTAATTATCAATTTAATGTCATACTTTTTGATAAATTATACCTAAATAATTATAAATTATTATACATGTTTGATAAACCTTTTTTTAAATTTCACTAAAAGTTATAGAATAATTAACTTTGAATTTCTCCTCATTTAAATATTATTTGTTGGTTATACTTTAATTTAAAATTGAATTAAGTGTATATTTTGTTAAATATATTTATTAAAAAAAAACAAAAATGTGTGTTTTTCCACTTAATTAGTGGAAAATAACCGAAAATTGTCGAAATTTTATATTTTTTGATTTTTAATGGACAATATTACGTATATAATCCTTTTAAAATCAAAAAAATATAAAATTTAAACAATTTTCGGTTATATTTCCTTGTTTTAAATAAAAATTCAAATAGCCAATCATTCAAATTTCCCGCCGAAAAAAACAACTCGGTTTTCCAAGGCTGCTAGATTTAAAAATCAACCAATGCTTGTTGCCACTTTTGACTACAGCGCTTTTAATTCTCTTATGTTCTGTGGTGCCATCTATAGGCGTATATTAAAACTGCAAATTCGATTTTTTTTGCCTAGCAACCCAGATTACACATTTAATTTTAGTAAATTAATTTCCGCAATTTTTATCGATGATTTCCAGGAAAGAATACATTTTATATCGACCATGGCAAGAAAGAAAATACGAAAACCACCGGAGAAAAGTACCAAATCAAATATGTATGTAATAATAATTAAATTTTTCATTTAGGTCCAGAGTGCTGTTGCAGCAATAGACAACAAGCCTCCTTTGATAAGACAACACGTAAACGCGAAATTAAAAAAGCAGCAAAGGGAAAAAGAGAGAATATTAAAAATTGAGCGCGAAAATTTTTTGTTGCTTCAAAGATTAAATTCTGTGACGAAAAAAAATCGCGTCGACAACCATTGGAAAACCCCGCAACCAGGGTAAAATCGTTATTTCAATACAATAAACCGCATACATTTTTTTGTTGTAGGTTTTTAAATCGAATCGCGCTTTATAATAATTATTATAAATACGATGATGATGACGATTCTAACTTTTTTGATTCGCCGACTTCTTCACACATAAGAATGTCGAAATGTTGTGCTTGTACGCCGAAAAAAATCAAAGAAATTGAGGTTTGTAGGTATATATTTTTTTAATGCCACAAATAAAAATATTTTTTTAGATTCCCGAAGACAGAATCCCTTGGGAATCAGAAAAAAATCCCATAGGACGTCGTAGAAGCAAGTCCGTTCCTGCCAAAAAAATAAATCTTCCAGAAATAAAAGAAGAACCACAAAAGCGGCCTAAAACTACGTCTCACAAATGTTTAAAAATAAACAATAAAATCGGCGATTTTAACGATAATCTGCAAAGTCTTGTAATAACTCGGGGTTGTTTAAAACTTTGCGTTAATTTTCCTTCGGATACGACTGTAAAATTTAAGCAAGGGAACTCTGAGAGAGTTTTACATGGTGGTTGGTGCTGCTGTAAAGCTCTGACAGGTTTAAAATGATTAATTATATACCTACGTAGATTAGTTTTCTTTACAGCACGTGTGATATTTTTTGTACTTTTTATGATACCAAATATACCACAGAATTAAACATTGGCTTAATTATTTTTCTATGGAAAATGATCTCTATGGAAAGCAATAAACCAATCAGAAGACAGCATTCTCCACAGCACACTTTAAGAAGCTGTCAGATTCATTTTATTAAACATCCTATATGATTTTAAGTATATTGTTAAAAATCTGGTTGCCATGGCTTTTATTTAAACGTCAAAACTATTAGAACTGTCGGTTGTCACTTTCATAACTTCAATTAAATTTTGACATTCTGCGTTAAATTTTGAATTTCCCTCGATAATTTTAGAACGTTTGTTTATCGTCAGTTGGCTGCCCAACAGTGGGGTACGCGCAGCCGCGTAGCACTCGTTTCCGCTGGTTTCTCCACAGCAAATCCTCGTAATCGGCTTCAGTTCGCGTAGCGACCATCCGTGTTAAGCCCTGTGAGTGCGTGCAAAGACTCTTCCACTCAGCAAAATCAAACAATCAAATTTTTATACTTATAAGTAAGGCAACAAAATCATCATGAGCTGGCAGGATTACGTAGACCAACAGCTCTTGGCCACTAGATGTGTGACCAAAGCCGCCATCGCCGGCCACGACGGAAGTGTATGGGCCAAATCCGAGAATTTTAACGTAAGTAACCAATTTTCACCCGTCTACTATTAATATCGAACGAATTTATCTCGAAAATACGCCCCGTAGAGCTCCAATACAATCTCAACAAAGTCGGCTGGCGAAACAAAAGAAGTCTAGGGCTTGGCTACGAACTGTCAAAATGCGCTGATATTAGAGGGATAAATGTCAATAGGACCTTCGAAATGGGTTTTCCGTGTTAAAACAGGTTAATTCTTGTGCACAAAGGGGTGTTTTAACAGGTTTTTTATGCAGTTTTCCTGGATTTAAGCCGGCACAAATACAAGATGGCGGCTGTGCAAAAGCGACGTGTAGAAATATTCGCCGACGGTATTGCGATTTTTGTGCCGCGATTTCAATTCTATTTACCTATTCATTTAATTTTGATAATTTTTTCGATTACTTAGCGTTCTAAAATTACTGCTTGAGGTTTATTGCCAGTGATAATCGTTGATTTTTTGTCGAAATAAACAGGTTTAAAGCAAGAATGACATTTTTAACGTTTTTTACAACTGAAGCAAATGTACCTTATAAAACTTTTGTTTGGAGAAGTGCCGCCCCTTTGCATGAATGAACCGTAACATCATTGACAAGGGGTAGTAAAGTTCCCCTCGTTTATTGATCGCGATGTGACGGCGATACAGGCGGGGGTGGCACTTTCAGCAGGAACAAACGTTTGCCAGTAGCCGTGGTCAATGAACAGAAAAATAGTGGCCTTCACCTTCACTGGCCTTCTGTTTTTTTTTGCTTGATTGGGATTTTAAATTGTCCAATAGGAATTATTGGTCGTGCAAAGGCGACTTGATTTTTGATTTTTTGAAATTTGGTCGGATATGCCATGACTCACGATTTCCTCCTCTAACGTTTGAATAATTTATATATTATTCATGTTTATATTTGTAAAGTTCTCTTACTAACAGAATGTAAATATCTAGATTTTTTCTTCGAACATGGGTACCTATTTATAGAATCTCGGAATTTGTTATTTCGGATATTTGGAAAAAACCCAAAGATTTTAGAACCACTCGTGTCAAAAATAATCGAAATCTGTGAAATTGTTTGTTGTCATTGGATTGTTCAATTGACTAATTAACTTCTTTTGTTTTGTATCCCCGACTGTTTATATTATTATTATTATTGGCCTACTTGACATGACAAGAGGATGTGTTCTGGTTTAGTCTGACGCTCGTTTCATTTATTTTAACCGTTTGTCGGTGTTACTTCCCGAATTAATTCGCGTTAATTGCTTAAAAATGTAAAACAATGGCGCATTTTTGACATTTGTTTATCGAATTTTATTTTAATTGGTAGTAGGTATATTGTGATTAAGCAGCATTCCAATGTTATACTAGTCAATAAGTCTGATAAATGCAATTATAATTATGATAAACTATACATTAGTAACTGGTTAAATATTTTTCGCTTATCACCATTAGTTATTTATCATTTTAACTTAATTATTTCTTTTAATACAAACTATTGGAAAGATAACAGGTTTACAAAATGTAGCAAACATTCTATTGTTAATTAGACTATACCAAGGTAGTACTTTCAAAGGGCGTCACGAGTTTTGTCGAGAAAAATTCGTTGCCATGTTATATAACCTAAATATTGGTTCTCAAAAATATTAAGTTAAATTGTTTATATTTTATATACCTACCTAATTTTTATCAAAAACAATATTCAAATAATAAAAACTTAAAAGTAATTTCTTAGGGCCGGTTTTTCAATCGTTGGTTAAGTTTAACTTACGGTTAACTTTCTTAGATACTATTGTGTTAACAATAGTATCTAAGGAAATTAACCGTAAGATAAAGTTAACCAACGATTGAAAAACCGGCCCTTAGTGTTTTTAATATTTTTTCATTTGTTTTCGATAAATATTCCATTATTTTTAAATTTAGAATAATATATTGGTACATAATAATACTTGACCTTGAACTTGATGGTTTAAACTGGTGGTCGAAACTGACTAATTTTATTAATCAGTGCATTTTCCCTTAAAAGTTTTGTTGTAAACAGTGTCAAGGAAAGATCTAGTAGCTTCTATTCTAATGAGTCATTTATCAACATGTGTTCGTTACTCCTATTTTTTTCAAAAGGAGGTGAATAATCTAACAAATGTAAAGATAATAAAAACCACTACTTTTTTTTAACAAAATTAGCCAATTTAGACATCTTACAACTAAGACTGATTTAACCTCACTTTTCCCAACTTATAATACAGCCTCGAATACAGCTAACTTTAGCCCGTCAATAACAGGCTTTATTTTCAGTATTTTGATTTTGATTGTTCATCATTGAAGGTTGCATTATTATCTGACCTTTGGGCGTATCACGATCGCGCTTAGTACACGGTGTGCCTCAAGGTCCCAACTGACAGCTCCGTACTAAATAAATAAACAAATGAGCAATTTTCGGCTTTGCAAATTATAACGGCATGGATTGGTCAACGTTTTTGAGTTTTGAATGCTCCTTTGTGTTTTTAAAATTTAATGTACTATTGTAGCCACAGACCACAGTCTATGATTGTAGTAGCATATTTGGGAGCGGACATTTTTGGTTCCCACAGAACAAACTATTATTCTATTCTATTAGTTAGCTTATTGATTAAATTAGATTGCATTTCCAATATTTAAAAAGAGTTGCGTCAAACTACAAGTAACGGTTTTGTATGAAAGCGGCAAAGTTAATTTAGTCAAATTAATTCATACTATTGTTTCAACGTTAATATAACATATGGTATGCGATATTTTGCCATTTTTGAGAGGCCTTACAGATCCAGATGTCGATTGGAAGGGTTACTGATAGTTTTGATAAAAAAATGGATTAAAATCTATTTTTGTGTTTTATCAGTTCTTAAGTTGGCAACACGAAATCTAAAATGACAATTTTTAACAGCATTAAAAATGTTTTTTAAGATATTCATAATTCTGAAAACATTCTATGGAAACTCGTTAAATGGAAATAATCCTTAACCATTATGAAAAAAATTGATTTTGACAGATTTGACGTTGACGTTTGACGAACTAGGGTAGTATATTTTAGTAAAATTAAATCAAAATCCTTCTATTTTTTTTATCCACGACAAACTTGGTTTTTATGCATTTATGCATCCTCTTAAAAACAATTTCCTAATAAAGAGTAATTTTATAGCCAAACGTAAATGTTAACTAAACCAAGGTTGTTTACATCTATAGTTGTACATTCCTTTTCCTAACCTTTAAATCATCCAAATATTATTGCAAATTTTCTTTTAAAAGGTATACAGTCCCTGTAAATATAAATTGTACCTATACACCTATCCCATATAATAGATTTTTCAGAGAGCTCATGCGCGAAAAAGCGCGGCAATCCCTTTTTTTCAATATTTCCCCTTAATTCAGTCACAATTCAGTTTTACCAACATGATGAATGAATGAATAAAAACCCTTGTATAAAATCCAAAAAGTTAGGTTAAGTTTTTATTTATTTTATTACTAATTTTGAAAAATGCGTTGTTGTATACATTCCTGCCGAAATTTCTTGGTTAATATTAAAAGTGGAAAGTTTTTTTCAATCCCTAAAAATGTTCAGCTAAGGAAATTATGGATAGAATCATTAAAAATAAGCCCAGAAAAAATTACGGATAGCACCAAGGTAATTATTTAACTTAATAGCTTAATAATATACTATATAATACCAGATAACAATTATAATATACTTATTTACTATTTTTAGGTATGCTGGTTACATTTTGAAGAAAATGATTTGTTTGATTTCTCAACTAAAGTGAAATTAAAGCCAACGACAATTCCCACTTTAAATTTACCTCAGAATGAAAATATAGTAGAAGATGAAAGTATTGTACCAAATTTAGAAGAAAGTGCTAAGACACCAGCATTTATTATAAGAAAAAAGTTGTGGCTACCTAAAAATGGTCTAAATTCAAGATTTTTGATTGAAAATTTTAAAAATAATGACAGAAAGATTTTGTATTATACAGGGCTTCCAAGCTACAAAATAGTAGTTATATTATATAAATTTATATTCACGAAACAAGTTCAGAGAAGAAAAAAAGGAAAATGGAATCAAAAACGTAAGCTTTCTTCAATGAATGAGTTTTTCTTACATTAATAAAATTGAGACGAGGAATAGATTATGAATTATTAAGTGATATGTTTCAAGTATCCAAATCCACAGTGGGGAGAATCTGCCTTGCGTGGATAAATTTATTATATATTAAACTGGCTGGGTTAAATATATTTCCCCATAGAGACATAATTTTGGAGCATGCCTCTATGGTTTTTAAAAATAAATATCCCAAAGTTATAGGCAGTATAGACTGCACTGAGTTTTTTATAGAAACTCCATCATCCTTAATAAAGCAGTCACAATGCTACTCCCAGTATAAAGGATCCACTACTTTAAAAGCCCTCATAATGATAAGCCCCAGTGGTGCTATAATTTTTATTTCAGCACTTTTTACTGGTAACATACCTAAATTATTAATTTAAAATTCATATATTATTTGGAGTTTTTTTAGGATCTATATCAGATAAAAAAATTGTTGAAGAAAGTGGGTTTCTTAATCTTTTAAAAAAAAAAGTAGAAATTGGAGAATTGGAAAGAGGTGATATTATTTTGGCAGATAAGGGGTTTGAGATTAAAAATATTTTAGAAGATGCTGGAATATGCTTAAATATACCAACATTCCGAATATCAGGAATACAGTATGAACCCAACCAAATTGAATATATACGACACATAGCAAGAGAGAGGATCCATGTAGAACGGGCTATAAGAAGGATAAAAACTTTTAAAATTTTATCCCACAAAATACCCATTGCACTTATGGGGAGTGTTAACCAAATTTTTACAGTTTGTGCTTTGCTTACAAATTTTATGCACGAGTTAAAAAAATAAAGTTTTTTGTTGAAATTTATAAATTTACTAAAACAACCCAGCTTTAATTTTTAATAATTTATTTTAAAAAAAGTCAATGGTTAGGTATTTTAATAAAAATATAAATATGCACTCAAACCTCCAAAACTTGAACCTCTTTAACTATAACTATAATTTCTATGTTGTAAAGAAATATTTTGACTTAAAATTTAGTATAATTTTATAGTTAAAAATAAACAAAATCAAATACCTACAGGTAGAAAATTTAGTTATAAATGGAGATTATACCTCATATATCCTTCCCATTTTTTGGTCTAAGCATTACCTTTATTTTTTACTTAACTTTGCTTAATTTTATACCTACCTCAAACAAGTTTAATTTAGGTAAGATTTAATTTTACAAAATGTAAGGTAAAATTGTCTATAAAAATAAAAAAATTACCTGAAAATTAAATTATATCAATAAAAAACGTAGTAAAAGCTTAGATATATATTATAAATATTGGTTAATTTTTCGAACATTTTATAACAAAAATTTTGATCAAATTCAACTTTTACAATTACAATCTCGTTTTCTTCTTTAAAATAAACAGCCAGATCGCACCACTTTATTCCTGTAATTAACATTTGTCCCTGAACTTGATAATAATAATTATGGTTTTCTTTTAAAAATAGTCTCTTATTCTCATCTTCTTTCAAAAAAAAAAGTTTTTGATTTTAAAGCTTCTTTTAAATTTTTATTTTTTTTACTAAATGGACATTTTATTTCCAAAATCCCATATTCATTTCCTCTTTTTATTATTCCATCTGGACTGGCACCCAAATATGGAGCATAAGGATGAACAATCAAACCACAAAGACAGACAACGTTTTTAGTTTGCTGTTCATATAATATTCTTGCATTTGTTTCATGATTTTTTCCATGCTGAACTGCTTTAACATGTCCCAAGTCTTGAGCTTCCCAAATGCTATTAAAATAACTAAACTCAAATGGCTTATTTCTTTTGCATAAAGACCCAAAATTTGAGGCAGTTAGCCTCCCTTTTCTGTATTCTTTCCATTCCTTAGAGTCACTTTGTTGCCTAGTTAAAATTTCAATATTTTCGGCATCTTCAAAATCAACATTAAAAAATGTATCCTCCCTTGGCATTGGCATAGAAATTAAAATATTTATGCATTCCATGTCCAAAACAGGCAACGATATGGGCAGTACTTCTACCTGATGGTTTTGTTGCAAAGTATTAAAATTCTGCATTGCCATTGTTGTCATACTTTCATCTAAAAAATAAAGAATAATAATTATATATTTATTAACATAAAAGGATTTTCTAAAATATTAAATAAGGTGCAAATGTAAATTACCTTGGTTTCTATCATTTATAAGGTAAGAAAATGGAATTTATTAATTTTTCTTAATCCTTTCTTCATTGTTTCCATTTTTATTTTATTTAACTCATTTTCTTTTAATAAAGAATCAGGGGTTAAAAAAGTTGACATTATTGGCCTTTTCTTTCGATTTATCTTTGTAGGTTTATGAAAAACTGCATTGACAATACTTTGAGGCAGAATTTTTGTACCCCTAGGTTTGTTCCACTCCATTGGTTTCGATGTGCTGGCAACATCTAAAACTTCATCTTCTTCTCTTAATAGCTTATCTTGCAAATAATATGCTAAGCTTATTAAATGGTGACAAGACTGTGATAACCTAAAATAAAAAAAAATATTAAGTATAAGATTCAAAACAACAAATCCTATAACTAGTATTATTACATTAAATAAAAATTAAATATTAACTAGTATCTTTGTTAAACTATGCTAGTATTATTATATCAAATATTAGACTTACCCAACTTCACATGAACAGTGACACTCTTGTAGACACAGTTGCTCTTCATTTCCAGATTTAAAAACAAAATAAAGGCTATGGGGTTTTTCATTTCGTTTTTGGGAATGATAACACCTTGCTTTAATGGAAAGTTCACTTTCGTTAATCCAAATATCGTGGAGGAATCCTTCAACGAAAAACTTATATGCTCGGGTATGGTGTTGTTGCGTAGCACCATGTCTAGCAAAAAATTGCTTGGCCTCATCAAAATCAAATTGTTTAAGACAAGATATCTTTTTTTGCCACATTTTTTAGTATAAACAGTATCAAAATACAAAACAATAATAATTAATTTTGGATTGACGTCTGTCATTTAAACACAGTGCAGGTAACATAAAGTAAAAATCCCCCAATATTTAAGGGGTAATATTTAAGAGGTGGTAATTTTGCGCACGCGCTATCCGGACAAGGATGAACGGGATAGGTGTATTGAGTCTTCAATCAACGGTAAAATACTAAAAAGGGGTATTATATTATGTATTAAGTATAATATTATGTTGCCATGAATTCGTAGATAAATTTTGTTAACTATTTTAAAATGCAGTTTTCGGCTTTTTTTAGAAGACTCAAAAATAAAAATGTTTGATTTTAAGGTTATGTTTATACAACAATTATTTTTAGTTAGATTTTTATATATACAGTGTATCGACGGATGGAGTTGACATGAGGAGGAAAATCTTTAATTTTAGTTTTACAAAAAAAGTTATTCTTTTTAAAAAATTCTACTTGTCAAAAAATGGGGTTATCATAAAAAAATCAAATATACCGGCTGTTAATAAATTGGGAAAACATGAAATGTTGAAGGAGATAACTTTAATTTTTTATTATTTTTGATAAAATGTATGAAAAGTATTGTCAAAAAAATAGGTTAACCATACAAAATTCATATCAAATATACAGGGGGTTAATAAATTAGGAAAACATAAAAATGCTTCAAGAGAGAAGTACAATTATTTAATTTTGTAAATAATTTATCGTAATTTATGAAAAATATTGTCAAAAAATGGGTTTACCCTAAAAAAAATTAGATCAAATATACAGGGTGTTAGTAAATTGGGAAAATGCTTTTTGACAATATTTTTTAAAGCAATTTTATGTTTTCCTAATTTATTAACACCCTGTAAATATTTTCCCAAAGATAAAGAAAAAATATGCATTAGTAGCATTAGTAGTTTTTTATATTTTATTTGATAAGCCACTGGTTACACACTTGTGTTCTGTGAGTACATAGATACCAACCAAGAAAGTAGCTGTGCGTTGCCAGTTGTAAAAAATTGTTATCAACAATTTTTCTTGCAAACAATAAATAAAAACTCAATAAATACAAAAGTTTTATGCCCTTAAAGCTCTAATAGCCTTCTTTATTTATTTCCTCATCCAACTATTAGCTTGCACAATGATTAGAAAATTTAGTACCTATTACTCCATAACCACAAAATTAATTTGTTCATCGTTTTTTTCTTTCTGCTTACTCGGATAAAATTAGGACAAGTTCATAGGTTAAACTTTAAACATTCAATTTGTGTAAATAAATCCAAAAGCACTTCCCTTAGTTAAGATATTTACAATTTGAGCACATAACCTAAAATTTGAAATAAATGCACTAGATTCTGTCATAAAAGTTGCCAGATTTTGTTTGAATTTACCTTCATTATAAAAATGACATAATGAACAATTAATAAAAACGCCAAATTAACAAATTCCATTGTTGTTTTTGTCATTTTTGTAATTAAGCTAAATTTAAACAAAATCTGGCAACTTTTTTAACAGAATCTGGAAACGCCACTTGTTACCAACCATAACATAATAAATTAAATTAGGCAACCAGATTAGCCTAAAGTTCCTAAACTCTGTATTATAGGTATTTTATTTACAATTAAAAACACTATAATTCACCATGATCACTTAGAGTCCAAGTCTTAGACAAAATACACACTAACGTAACTATATAAGCATATAAGCGTTGAGTTTCTTAATCAATGATATAAGGAATAATAAATCGAAATCGAGTACTAAACCAAAGTTTTTCAGTCTTTACTTGCAACGCGAATTACAAATAACGTGCGCAATTTAGCTGTGCAACTTAAGACAAGGATGTTTATAACAATTGTTTATAAATTTAATTTTATGTTTTTTCCAGGTATCTAAAGAAGAGGTCGCGAAAATCGTGCAAGGCTTCGACAAACAAGAAATCCTCACATCCAGTGGCGTAACGTTAGCCGGCAACAGATACATCTACCTTTCCGGGACGGATCGCGTCATAAGAGCGAAGCTCGGCAAAGTGGGCGTACACTGCATGAAAACGGCGCAAGGTAAATAAATACCCTTCTCTTCCTTATTACTTCCATCTAGTAGTCTATCCACGATACGCAAAAATCGGTATGCTGAGTACGCAGGATAGCAAAAAGGTTTTTATCATAGACATAGTAATATGTAGATGGTTTTATAATTAACCATTTTGTATATTTTCTGTTGTATACCAATTGTTTTGACATTGTTTTTTCCATTGTGTTTAAGAGATTTTTAGTAGCTTTTACATAATATGCATATTATGCCACTTTTTGCTTTCTATAAAGCCAAACCACAAAAATTTATGTAGGCTTAACCTAGACGATGTAAGCAAATGATTTAGAATCCTTTGTTATAACCTAAATTTTATTTAGTTGACAATTCCTATTACATGTTGACGTATTAATATGTCTATTGTATAATATATTTTAAATCCCCCACTTATAAACTCCCCTCAAAAAAGGGAAACAAGGTAACCTATACAAAATATATCAAATAAGCATATATGTATACTAGGTGTGTTCAGAAAATAACGGGAATTGTTAAATTTCGCGGGTTCGGAGAGTTCGGTTGTCATAAAATATTCTTTATTATGTTGGTATACATGCCCCCGAAGTATAATAAAAACTAGGGATGCACCGGAATTCCGGCGGTACCACTAAATCCGGCCGATCCGGCCAGTTGGCCGGAACTACCGTTCCGGCCGGATCGCTTTCCGGCCGGAATTTTCGGAACTTTTTGGAAATGTTTAAGTTTTAAATTTTTAATAGGTATAATTTAAATTCAAATATATGCAAAAATAAAGAAAATTATTTTAAATGAATAATGAAATGACCTGCAGCCCTCAGGGTTGCCAGATGATATTTTTTTATTTCCCCAGATTTTTTACAAAAAAATCCCTAGATTTCCCTAGACAAGTATGTCAAAATTTTTTTTATAGAAACTTTTTTTAATTTAAATAGGTATATGCATATTATATTTTGGGACAAATAAATTTTGAATTATATATATATACAAACAACGTAAATCAGATGTACTACATCTTAATAAAATATTAAAATAATTATTGCAAGCTTTGCAACGAGCGTAGTTGATACCTTTTTGCCTGTTTTCAAGCCATCCTTTAAACTCTGGTACTTTCTCCCATTGTTGATTGTACTTTTGTGTGTACAATTCATATACCTATAGTTATAGGTATATGGTACAATTTCTGTTTTCTTTTTGACTTCATGTCGTAATCTCCAGATGTAGATGCTTTAGGGGAGCTCATTTTCGCACGTTCTAAAATGAATTATCAAGCCACAACAACTGATGGTGTGCTCATGCGCTTCCTATATTGGATTGGATTGGCACATAGATGGCTCTGGGTTGGGTGCAAATCATATACTTACCACACAGTGGTAAGTATATGGTGCAAATATGAGAATAACCAAAAACGCTAAATAGGTAAATACCTCCGTTAAAATAATTTAACTGCTGGTTTTTATTTAGAAAGTTGAAAATTCCCTAGATTTGTCCTAAAAATCATAAAAAATACCTTTTTCCCTAATGTGATGTAAAATTCCCCAGATCTAGGGACATTTCCCTAGACCTGGCAACCCTGGCAGCCCTGTGCCTTTGCTTGTGATTAGCAGGCGTCTGGGATTTCCCGACTTTCGCGTCTGTGATTCCCCGACTTTCGCGTCTGGGATGCCCCGACTTTCGACCAGATATATTTTATAATTGGTCAACAGTGAAGGGTGTGCGTGTTTCCTTGTCTATGATAGACATGCATGACCTGCAGCCCTGTGCCTTTGCTTGTGATTAGCAGGCGTCTGGGATTTCCCGACTTTCGCGTCTGTGATTCCCCGACTTTCGCGTCTGGGATGCCCCGACTTTCGCGTCTGGGATGCCCCGACTTTCGACCAGATATATTTTATAATTGGTCAACAGTGAAGGGTGTGCGTGTTTCCTTGTCTATGATAGACCGGCGGCTGTGGTTCCCCGACTTCTTTTTAATTTTTTTATTATTGGCAGGTGGCTGCTATTCTCCAATGGAATGAGTAGAATTTGTTAACGCTAATTAAAAATTAATATTTAAATAAACAGTAATTTCTATCTAGGTAAAATTAATAGTAATAAACACTCTGCATACTGTAGTTAGTTTAAAAAAAGTAAAAATAAATCAGCCTCAATATTTTCAATGTTTTACGTATAAAAATAGGCATGCACATACATTTTAAATTTAGGTCCCGATCCGGCCGGAATTCCGGCGATCCGGTCCGGCCAGCGGCCGAAATTCCGGTTCCGGCCGGATCGGCAAAATACCCGATCCGGTGCATCCCTAATAAAAACTTTAGCTGTTTTCATTGTTTACTTTGTCTGTGGCAGCCGCTAAGGTTAGACGTGTTTTATGAGCTCGGCGAATTTCGTTCATTCGAAAGAAATGGATCAAAGAATTTGTATCCAATTTTGCTTAAAAAATGAAATAAATTCTGTGAAATGTTAACAAAGGCCTATAGTGAGTCTGCTATAAGTAAAACAAGAGTTTACAAGTGGTATAAGAGTTTACAAGTGGTATAAGAGTTTCCAAGTGGTATAAGAGTTTCCAAGATGGCCGTGAAGACGTTGAAGATGACGAACGCCCCAAACGCACAAGCACATTAACAACCGATAAAAACATGGAAAAAGTGGAAGAAATAGTTATAAACCATCAGAGAAGTCGCTGATGATGTTGGTATATCGATTGGCTCATCCCATGAAATTTTTTCGAATGTTTTGGGTATGAAACGCGTGGAAGCAAAATTTGTTCTAAAATTGTTAAATTTGTTTCAAAATTTTTAAATTTTGAACAAAATTTTTGGCCAAAAACAATACTGTAATGATGCCCCAGCCTCCATATTCGCCAGACATGCCTCTCTCTGACTTTTTCCTATTCCCAAAAATAAAGAGAACCTTAAAGGGCCGTCGTTTTGCAAGCATAGATGACATTAAAAGCGCATCGCTGAAAGAACTAAAGGCTATCCCAAAGATCGACTTTTAGAAGTGTTTCGAGTATTGGAAGAAGAGCTGGCACATGTGCATAATATCCAATGGGGACTATTTTGAAGGCGACAACATTAATGTAGACGAATAAATAAATATTTGTTTCAAAAAACGAAAATTACCGTTATTTTCTGAACACACCTGGTATGTATAATATACATTGTATATGTGGCCACCTACATACTTCAATTTGAACGTCTTTATTATATTAATAGACACTACTACTAAATTTTGACACCATTGGATATAACATTTTGAAACGATTATAAAAAGTTATATCTAACCGCCCATAGTGTGGTCATTGTAGGGAATCTCTGGCAATAAATAAAAAACAAAATATGAAATCAAATAAAAATTTGTTATTTCTAAACATAATTAAACTGCGCATTAGTTTCTGGACCTCTTAGGCCTAATACTTATTTCCCTTCATGATAGAGCCTCAGTCAAAAAGAGTTTCACGACTGCCTCACTCATATCTGTTAACCGACCAAAATTTCTCGGAATTGTTTGTGTTCTACCTTTCTTTAAAATCGCGTTTTTATAAGTTTCTTGTGCATTCTATTCATTACTTTCATTATCTACTTTATTTAGGTATGTAATTCTTACTTTTTATTATTTTAACCAAAATTAACGTATACTTTTTACATCTTTTAAAAGTATCACATGCAAAAATATTTACATTTTACTCTAAAATCTATAATAATTTAATTTACTTAAGAGCATTTCCGGTGAAACTAGAAATTACAAAATATAAGTCAAAAAGTTCTAAATTACAGTTTATAAAGTTCAAATTTTTGCGATGAACCACGAATTTACTAGAATTTATTTATTTTCATTAAAAAAATATTAATTCCGAAACGACTCGGCCCGAGTCACTCGGGACTTTTGGTGAAAGTTGTTTATATTATCAACTTCAAACAAAAAAATATGAAGTAAAAAAAATGTGTCAATGTCAAAGTTTTTTGCCTTAAAAAGTAAAAAATTTCACTTAATTTTTTATATATTTTTTGTATACAGTAAACATTTACCTACAATTTAAAACAGAGAAACTGTAAAAACAATTCGTTGAAAAATAACGACCTACCTTTCTTTGCCTGGTCGATTTGAGATAGAAAGACCCAAACGTTATTTGCTTCAAATTTCTTTAAAAAAATCAAATTTCTATAAGTAAAAGCATTTGAAATACCACCGCGTGTAATTTATGAAATTATGTCAGATAATTAAAAAGTATGTAGCATGAATGTTGGTTTCACTAAATTGCTAATTGTATGCGATTTACTTGCTTACACACAAAAATGGTAATAGGTATATTATTTACACGTTTTTTAATTGCGAATAACTTTATTTATTCAATTGCCGAACATTATTTTTTTTTACTTTGCGGTTTTTTTTAATAACGCGCAATGTTTAGTGGAAAAAAATATATTTTGAAATCTCTTTTCTATTTAAAAAGCAAGAGTGATAAATTCATGAGAGCTACTGCGATTTGCGCGTATTTTTAATGCATTTGGGTCAATATTCGTGCCTCCTAATTTGTATTCATGCACCATGCCAAAATTTTAACTACTTAACGTCATCTTGGCATATGCGGGAAAAACTGACTCAAGTGGACACAAAATATTTGGACTAAAAATATTATTATTAAATAATATTTTTGAAACATTATAATATGAAAATTTCCTTTGACCCATGTTTCGTCTTCAAATTTCGATGTGATGACATCATATTTAATCTGAATAAATGTAACTATAGTTTAAGCATAAATCATTATATTACCTTCATGAGTCATTAAAAGCAATGATTATTAATCATATCTTCCAAGAAAATAACATAACCCGTATTTTGAAAAACTGGCTTTATCGTATCCCCGCATTTTAAATATAATAACAGTCTCGAATTAAGGTCAAGGTCGTCTATAGAAAAGTTTTGGTCGAGCGGTCTTCTGGTCGCGGATGTAAAAGGGCTTACGCGATAATATTTGTTTTCTTTTTTTTTCAGCCGTGGTAGTTTCCCTTTATGAAGATCCAATTCAACCTCAACAAGCTGCGTCTGTGGTGGAAAAATTAGGAGATTACTTAATAAACTGCGGTTACTAGAGGTAAATATTAATTTTTATATATGTATGTAATTAGATTTTGATTTGATATTTTAAAAAGTATTTTCCAAAAAAGTTTTAGTTTTAACCCCTTGAAACATGTTGCGATATCTTTAAAAGTATGTATTTTACAAAAAAAAATGTTTAAAACTAAAAATATAAAGAATTCAATTTTTCACTCTTCTTCGAAAATGACTGGAACGAAAAATATTTTCAAAAAATTTATAGTTTTAACCCCTTAAAACATATTGCTATATCCTTAAAAGTATGTATTTTACAGAAAAAACGTTTTAAACAAAGAAATTAAAATAAAAAGAATTTAATTTTCTACAATAAATGCATGTCAAATAAAATAACTGCAACTAAAGATATTTTCCAAAAATGTTATAGTTTTGACCCCTTGAAACATGTTGCAATATCTTTAAAATGATGTATTTTACAACAAAACGTAAATTAAAAATGTAAAGAATTACATTTTTTACAAAAAATTTAATTGAACTCCTATTATAAAATGAACGGAACGAAAAATATTTTCCAAGAAAGTTGTAGTTTTAACCCATTGAAACATATTGCGATATCTTTAAATGTATGTATTTAAAAAAACGTTTTAAACAAAGAATAGAAAGAACTAAATTTTCTACAATAAGTGTCTATTCAATTACAAAAAAGTTGTAGTTTTAACCCCTTGAAACATGTTGCTATATCTTTAATACTATTTAGGTATTTTACAAAAAAACGTTTTCAACCAAGAATAGTAAGAATTTAATTTTCTACAATAAATATAAATATAATATAAATTATAATAATGTATAAATAATAAAACATGTTGCTATATCTTTAATACTATGTATTTTACAAAAAAAAAACGTTTTAAACCAAGAATAGTAAGTATTTAATTTTCTACAATAAATGTAATTCAAATTATCTTATAAAATGACCGGAACTAAAGATATTTTTCCAAAAATGTTATAATTTTGACCCCTTGAAACATGTTGCGATATCTTTAAAATTATGTATTTTACAAAAAAACGTTTTAAACCAAAAATATAAGGATTCAATTTTCTACAAAAAAGTAATTTTACTCTTATTATCCAAAAAAGTAGTAAAAGTAGTTTTAACGCAAAAACGGAAGAATTCGTATTTACCTACAATAAATGTAATTCAAATTTTCTTATAAAATGACCGAAACAAAAGATAGTTTACAAAAAAGTTGTAATTTTAACCCCTTTGAAACATGTTGCAATATCATTAAAAGTATGTAGTTTAAAACCACAAATAAGTATAAATAATTAAATTTTTTATAAAAAATTTAATTCAACTTTTCAGTAAAACGGCGTTTTAAACCCATGGAAGTAAAAAATCTAATCTAAACTAAAATAAAGTAGTGAAGTATTTGCTAATATTTCCTTGAAATGCCGCACTTAAGACTCGTAAGTCTTTATCAAGCACTTAAGCCGAGAAATTGGCAAGTTAAGTGGGTCATTTAATAAAAAAAAATCAGGTAATTTAAGCCTTTTTAAACGTGTAATTTGCCAAGACGAAGTTTATGTAATTGATTCCAGGACCTAATAACACTTTTCGATAAAAAATGCTAAAAATATGCGACCGTTCAGGAACGCTTTAAAGATTGTTTCAACAAGAAAACAGTTTTTTGTTTTAATAAGTGTTAACAAGAAAATGACGTCATTTGACCACTGAGGCGACAAAAGTTGAACATCTTGATAACACATGTTTATTTAGGATGGATGGAAGTATGGCGGCGTTAATATGAAAACAACGCGTTGACTTAATTATAACAATGCCCTAAAAAATTCAATATTTTATTTCCATTTAACATTCTTCTATTTGCTCAAAAAAAAACTTCTCAGTTCTTTTGAATCACGTGAATTAGTTGGTCAGAGATTGTTAATCTTTCCATTTATATATTGTCTTAGTTTTTAATTGTTCCAACGTAATTGGCCTTGGACAGAGCAAACTCGATTAAAAAAGCATTTTGCTTTGACCAGCATCCTTGCTTTTACGTACAGCCAGCTCGGTGAAATAAAAGACCCTGTAAACGTAAAAAGCATATAACCTAAATATGAAACTGGTTTTTTTATGTTTGCCGCAAGGGGATCATTATCACCTGTCCCCGGGCACAAAGGGATATATACCTGTACATATACTATGCCTAATATGCGTACGCTTTAAGCACCTTTCTTTCAAACAGGTGTTTTGTTATTTTTAGAGATGAATTGCAAAAAATTTATCGCCACTTAGTTGACTGAATATTTTGTTTTTCTTGAAAACGGATGGATCTTTGACTTTGTAACAAGAGCACCTTTTTTACTTAAAATTATCTGCAGAAAATAATTAATAAAAACCTGATTTTTGCGAAACAGTTTAATGTAAATTCTTTGATGAATCAAGATTTTGAGTTGTAATTTTTTTTCCAAACCTTATAAATTGCAATATTGCAATATTTTAGAAACTTGCGTTGATACTTCCCGTATATTTTCCAAAGTGTTTTGCTATTTATCAAGTTTCATTTTATTTATTCAGATAATAAATAAATAGGTTTATTATTGAATCAATCAATTGATATGTCAATTGATTTATTCCATTAAGCTTGAATGTTTATTTAATTTCAATAATATGAATTCGATATGCATTGTTTTTTGCTCTAAAAAAACTAATTAGAATAAATATTTGTATACTGTTATGCTGTATTTACACAGTGTGAAAAAAAATATGTTTGTAAATTAGACAACAAAATTTATTATAACCTCGATTTTAAAGATCATTATAGTCGCCCCTCGTATACAGGGTGTTATGTAATTAATGTAATATATTAAAATACTGAATACCTTTTGACATGCGGTGTAACGGAAAAATATTTAATAAAATATGCATTAAAAGTTATTTATATTTTTTGTGATACGCCACTGGTTACACACGTGTGTTCTGTGAGTACATATTATGTAGATACCAACCAACAAAGTAGCTGCGCGTCGCCAGTTGTAAAAAATTGTTACTAAAAATTTGTCTTGCAAAAAATAAATAACTCAATAAATACAAAAGTTTTATGCCCTTAAAGCTCTAATACCCTTTTGTATTTATTTACTCATCCAGCTATTAGCTTAAGCAATGATTAGAAAATTTAGTACCTACCTATTTTAAAAACTCCATGACCACAAAATTAATTTTTTCATCGGTTTTTTTCTTTCTGTTTACTCAGATGAAATTAGGACAAGTTCGCAGCTTAAACATTTAATTTGTGCAAATAAATCCAAAAGCACTTCCCTTAGTTAAGATATTTACAATTTGAGCACTAACCTAAAATTTAAAAGAAATGCACTAGATTCTGTTATAAAAGTTCTTAGATTTTACCTTCATTACAAAAATGACATAATTGGGCGTTTCTCTGTAAACTGGGCAACTCATTGTCTCAAGCTAATATTGTTTAGAAAAATAACAGATCATAAATATTTCGTAGATAACTTCAAAAGATAATAACCTAATCTACCTATGCTCGACGTTCAAAATCCAATAAAATAAATCGTTTTTATAGTCCTTAAAAACCAGTCCCCTGACGTGTCACCAAAGCAAAATGGTCTTTTCAGACTAAATTAATTAAAGACAGTAACTATTGGAATTAACCTAATTGTTTTATTATTCAACCAATATTGTTTGCTTGTTACTGTGACTTATTTATTTTTTATAATTATTATTTTGTAATTCTAAAAAAGTCATCTAAACTTTGTCTCCGGATTTTATAAACAGTCCCCTGTATAGATTTTTCAGAAAATGCTCAATGTTTTCCAAAGTAATAGGAATGTTTTTGGTTCATCTGCCGTATACTAATAAATAGACCGATATTTATTCCTCGAATAACATTTATTAAAGACAACAAAAATATAACAAAAAAACTTGCCTAGACAATTTCTTACTTCAAGTAGCCCAGTTTACAGAGAAACGCCCAATTAACAATGAATAAAAACGCCCAATTAAAAATTTGATTTGTTGATTTTTATCATTTTTGTAATTACGCTAAATTTAAACAAAATTTGGCAACTTTTTTGACAGAATCTGGAAACGCTGGTTGTTACCAACCATAAAATAATTAATTAAATTAGACAACCAGTTTAGCCCAAAGTTCCCAGTCGATCCTACTTTTTGGTAGGATAAAGGTTATTATAAATTATTTTTAGTCTTTAGAATTTAGAGAAAAAAAGTTTCGGGTGCTTTAAGGACCCTACGGAACTACCCATTACATTAATTACATAACACCCTGTATATAAACAAATATTACATCTGTTAACCTAACTTTTTCCCAATTTAAAACCCGATTGGTTCAAATAACAGTGAATATTGAAATCAGCTAATTACTGATGCTTAACAACGTGAATTGCTATGTGCTTTTTTTAAATTAAAATTTCATAAAAATTTGTATAAGTAAAGTAGAAATTTCGGGCCGCCACTGGTTGTTCCTTACCTGACAACTGACGCAAAATATGCATGGTGGGCAATAATCTACATTTATTAAAAATTTACATTTGTGTTATCATTATTTACTTTGTTGATAATTGTTTTTTGATTTGCATACTCAGCTATTGTAAGGTACTTCGAATAAAACAATACTTACTTTTTATTGTTTTACTTCTAAATTATAATATTTTCTTCTCTTTGTTTCAGATAGTGTGAAGCGCTGCGTGACAAAAAACACGACCGGGCAGCGTCAAAAAAAATATATTAGAGTTTGTATTTTTTTCATTGTAACAACAGCGAAAAAGCAATGTGTATATTATCGAACGCATCATCATTATGTATATTTATAACTTAACGTATAGTTTTCTATTGGTTTTATTTTTTAATAATATTAATAATAATTACATACTACAAAAGTAAATGGCAGAAACGTTCTCACCTAGAATTAAATACATTAATAATATATTGTTTTTGCGAAAATCATTGAATTCATCATAAATAACATCCATGAAAAAGTGTATTTATCCGCTGTGGATTACGGTCATCATCTTTTTGTAATACATTTTCAGTAAGTAATCCACAGTGGAGCAAATCATTATTTTTTATTCAGACTGTGGTCTCGTTTTTTGTTGTTTTTTAGAACTTAGGATATTGTTTGCAGATGTGCATCTTTCGCATTTGGAGTGTTTGTAAACGCTGAGCGTCGCAAATCTTAAGATTCACGTCTCGATTTTTTTATTTCAATTTTAGCTTACTACCTATACCATTGCTATCTCTATGAAAAACTATTTGATACTGAAAAATTACAGTTAGGGTTTTTTAATAAAAAAATCTCTAGTCCCACAATATTTTTCTTTTCTCCCTCCCCCACTACTTAGTAATCCGCTTTTTGTACAATTATCTAATAAATAATAATAACTATAATAATAATACCCGAGATGCCAAAACAAGCACAATTGATATACATACTAATAACGCTGTGCTGCATGGTGTTTTTCCCGATTACTTGAAGCTTGAAGTAATTTTCGTGTAAATTTTTCAGTTGCTTGTCAATAATAACTAAGCAATGATTGGTGTGCTAGTCTGCTCTCTACTTATTTCCAAAAACAAAAAATCCGCACTAGTTTATGAAACACAGTTTTATTTTTCGAAAAATCGATCGTATACTTTTTGAATTTGTGATAATAAGTTATTAGATATAGATTTCGCCAGTATTTATATTTCCTATAATTGACAATTCGCACCAATCAAAATTACACACTAATTTTTGTTCGTGTGGAAATTTGTTATTCGCTGGCTGTAAAATTGTTGTAACGCGTTTTTAAAATGCTCAGAATTGTCATTGATAATGAAAAGTGACGTATTTTTACCTCCCTAATTTAAATATAAAAGAAAAGCAAAATAAATTTAATAGTAGCTTTGTATAATTTTTCTGATTATGATAATTATTATTCGCAAGGGATTTTGTGTATCTAAAATAAAGAACATAATAAATTTGTATTATAAATTTTAGATTGTTTCATTTTACATATACCTAAACAATAATACACAAGTATATAAAGCATACAAAAAGGTAAGTTGCAAAATTAATTGCAATGTCAACACACTGGTCAGGAAATATCAATATAATTATGAAGACCACCCACTCAGCAGATATTAAAAAAAAACAGACAGATAAAAGGTAAGCAATAGTATATTATGTGTCAAGTTTTATAAACGAGTCGCAATATTATCTAAATGTAATATTTGTATAAAGCTTCATCTATACGAAAATAAAGTAGACGTTACTAATTTTAATTAAACTTTAAAATAAAGTGTTTTAATATTAAAAAAAGTGTTTTCATTTTTTTTTTTTTTACTTTAATTGCAAAATATCAAAAAGTAGGTAGGTATTAAAAATTCTCAAAACATTTTAGGCAGTGAATATGCCAATTGATTTGACAATTAATTTATAAACAACCAATGACATTGTAGGAAACAGAAAACCGAAAAATTTTGAAATCAATCTTATGTATTCCATACATTTTAACATTTAATAAAAATTGCCCCTATATTTGGAAGGCGCTACGCCCAGTGGCGGCTGGTGGATTTTGGGCACACCCATATCTCATTTATTAGACATCAAATTTATATGAGTTAATAATGACATTATATAGACAGGTTCTGCGAAAGCAGAATTTAAATTGAATTTTGTGAAAAAAAGTTAATTTTTTAGTGTGCACCTCCAGCCTCCTGCCCCCCAAAATTAAGATAATTAAGATAATTCAAATTAAATAGGTTACCTACTAATCTTAAAGATTTAGGAAATGTTAGAATTTTTAAATACCAACTCAAATTATATCTTTTGTCTAAAACATTTTACTCAGTTAGTGATTTTTTCAATGATTATTAATTTTTTTTTTGTATACATTCATTCTTTGACTTTGACTTGTCCAACACAATGTAATATTGTATTATTGGAAAAAATAAATAAACTAAACTAAACTAAAATTTATAAATTATAACTGTAGTGAATTATAAATTATAATTCACTACAGTTTATCAACGAATTTCAAAATTTATTTAAAAAGTCAAAGAATTACAGATTTTATACCATTTCTATTTTTTTTTTTAAGACATAATAAAAATTTAAAATGGTATAAAACTTGCATTTTTTGAATACATTCGAAAATTTGTTAATAAACTGCAGTGAATTAAATATTGTACCACTTTAATTTGAATTATCTTAATTTGGGGGGGCAGGATGCTGGGGGTGCACACTTAAAAATAACTTTTTTTCGCAAACTTCAATTTAAATTCTGCTCGCTCAAAACTTGTCTATATAATGTCATTATAAACTCATATAAATTTGGTATTGGTCCCATGTCTAATAACTGAGATATCAGTGTCCCCAAAATCCACTAGCCGCCACTGGCTACGCCCCTGTTTCTGATGTTAATTTATAATATAGCTCCATGAGGAATTTCGATATATCGGTTGTGGTCGAAAAGTTCAAAGACCCTGTGTGTTTAAAACCTGATCAGCCTTCCTATACTGCAAGAGACAAATGCAGGAATAAAAATGTAACTGATTCTTCTGACCAGTTAGTTGTTGTTCACACTCAACTTGAAAAAATAAATAAAAATAAGTTTTTGCATATTTTAACATTTTAGTTTTATACCTACCAAAATAAACATCCAAATGATCCAATCCTATTTATCTTAATTGTTAATAATAAACTTTAATAAATAACTAACTTAATAAAGCTATGTAGGTAGGTATATTTATCTATTTACCCAATATAAAAAATTATATATTTTGCAAAAAAACAACAAATTTAGTCTTTTAAACATTGGCAATACGACTCATTATTCGGGAAACTCATGTGAATCATCAAAATATTTTAATCCGAATGATTCAAAGTCCTCAAACAGCACTAATTAGGAAAAAAGTCTGGTTAATCCTGAAAAGCGTGGCTACGCCCTGCAGAATATTTCGCAGAAAATTTCGATCAATGAAAACCATGGGGAATACAAAGTGCTGAAAACTTGAGGGGAGACTTCAGACAAATTCACTCAAACAGCACACAAATTTTAGGCTTGTTTAATAAGGTACAGGTTTTAAAGTAACTGATGTAAAAATTGCACTGACTACCTATGTATATCGTATTTGTGACAATGTTTTACATTCTTAAATAAAATTTAAAAAAATTTAATGTGTATAGTTTTTAACTTAGGTCGACCTAAGAGGATCTGTCCAGATATCCGTTATAAGTATCTTACAAAAGCGTTAGGAACAGTTATTTTGTGTGTAATACATCGATACTAAGATAATTAAAACCTGATTTGTTGTATGCCAGACGTTCTTTACAGTTTCTAAAGGCCTTTACCATGTTCAGAAAGCTCTTATAGATGCGTGAACTAAAAAGAACTAGAACAACAATATAAATATACAGAATTAAATAATTTTTTTTAGATAAGTATATACAGTAGGGTGAGCCAAAAAAACTAACCTATCCGATTTATGGGTTAAAATGAACCTACATACCGAGCAAAAAATTTTCCTGCAAGGAAAAATTTTTTGCTCAATTTTAAAAGGTGTCGGTGAGCATTCTAAGTTTTCCATTGAAATAACACGTAAAAAAATCTTTTTTCATTAAAAAAAATATAACTTTTGAACCGTTTGAGATAAAAAATTTTACGTCGCGGATTCTTGTAGAGCATAAAATTTCCTACAAAATCTATCCCAGAATTATTTTTTTTCAATTTAAAAATTCGTATATTTGAAAGCTTTGAAAAGTGAAAAAAATCATAATATTTAGTTTTAGTGTTTTTTGACTAAAAATGTTCATTAGGGTGTTTCATTTAAAACGAAAATTTTTTTTTCTTGCTGACACATGAAAATTTCGGTTTTTAGGTTGAAAAAAAAAATCCCTGAAAATTTGAGCCCTTTATTTTGATTCTAAGTACTTCCTTTTTAATTTTGTAGTTTTTCCATATAAAAAGCATGTATTTTTAATCATTTTTACTTTAAATTTCTATATTTTGGCCGGGTTTTGAATTATAATTTTTATCACCATAATTTTCTGCACAGTATTCACGGTTTTTGGAAGGCCCTGCATCAATTTTGTTTTTGATTTATTTACGTTGATTGTAGTAGCTCCAAAAGTAGTTTTTTCACTTTTTCTCATATTTTTGAGAAAATCGAGCGAATGACTGGTTTTACCGAAAAAGTTCAAATAAAAAAGTTGTAGAAAATTTAATTTTTGACTAAAAAGGTTTTTACGTTCATATCAATAAAGTGCTTTGTTTAAGAGATATAAGCAATATATAGTTGTTGAATGAAATTACATAAATTTCAATAAAACCTATTTTTTCTTTGTTTTTGGTTATTGAATTGCTTATATCTCTTAAACAAAGCACTTTAGTGATATGAACGTAAGAACCTTTTTTGTCAAAAATTTAATTTCCTACAACTTTTTTATTTGAACTTTTTCGGTAAAACCAGTCATTCGCTCGATTTTCTAAAAAATATGAGAAAAAGTAAAAAAACGACTTTTGGAGCTACTACAATCAACGTAAATAAATCAAAAACAAAATTGATGCAGGGCCTTTATTATGGTGATAAAAATTATAATTCAAAACCCGGCCAAAATATAGAAATTTAAAGTAAAAATGATTAAAAATACATGCTTTTTATATGGAAAAACTACAAAATTAAAAAGGAAGTACTTAGAATCAAAATTAAGGGCTCAAATTTTCAGGGATTTTTTTTTTCAACCTAAAAACCGAAATTTTCATGTGTCAGCAAGAAAAAAAAATTTTCGTTTTAAATGAAACACCCTAATGAACATTTTTAGTCAAAAAACACTAAAACTAAATATTATGATTTTTTTCACTTTTCAAAGCTTTCAAATATACGAATTTTTAAATTGAAAAAAAATAATTCTGGGATAGATTTTGTAGGAAATTTTATGCTCTACAAGAATCCGTGACGTAAAAATTTTTATCTCAAACGGTTCAAAAGTTATATTTTTTTTAATGAAAAAAGATTTTTTTACGTGTTATTTCAATGGAAAACTTAGAATGCTCACCGACACCTTTTAAAATTGAGCAAAAAATTTTTCCTTGCAGGAAAATTTTTTGCTCGGTATGTAGGTTCATTTTAACCCATAAATCCGATAGGTTAGTTTTTTTGGCTCACCCTAATATACAGGGTGTTCAAAAATGGTAAAATATTTCTAGGCTAAAGCAAGCTAACTAATTAAAGGTGAGTCAGATCGAAAAACGGCAAAGGACTTTTCGTCATCTTTTTTACACTACTATATGCCATAGAAATATTGTACCCTTTTTTAACACCCTTTATAAAAATAAAATTACTTTGACGAAAATTTAAATACATTTTGCACAAATATTGATAATAAAATTGTGTAGACTTACCTATGAATTGTTGCTAGCTGGAATTTATTTAAAAAATTTAAAAGTTTTATCAATCAAATAACTTCTCGAAATAATAAAACAAACAACTTTATCATTAAATAAATTTTATTTCAACTAAAAACACGTACACAAAAATATCCAACATAAATAAAGAAATATACAATTATACATTATTTAAAAGCATAGTTAAAAACATGTTAAACAAAAAAATCGCAACTGGACTCGCACGGAAATTTCTAAAGTTTGATACACTTAATATGTATATGACATTGTAATAAATTAGTTTAATTATCTACAGCTAGATGCCTGTAATTATATATGGCGAAAATTGTTCATTTACAGCCCGATGTGTATCAGGTTTGTTGAAATTTTGCGACCCTACTTTGCAATGTTTATTTCGCTTAACAGCTGCGGAAGTTCTGCACACTCTCACATCTGCATTTTTTATATCAAAAAGCGTGGTAAACAATGTTATTTTTATTATCACTTCCGCAGCACTTCCGCATCCGCAAAAATTACTTTTGACATATGCTTTCTATAGAGATAATTTTCCATAAAAAGAAGGGTCGTAAAAGTCAAGTCTTGTAAAGTTTAATTAAGGTGTAAATGATTGTCTAAAATATTTAACAAAATGGAAAGGTGTATACAGGGTTCAATGCTAACAGAGAATCACACTACTATACGAGGGTTCAATATCCAATACATTTTTTTATTAATTTTTATTTAAGTTTAAGTCTTTTTAATACACTAGGTATAATATTTTTAAAGCCAACACATTGCATTCTCTATTATCAGTGAGTTGTGGAAATTATTTGCGGAATATTAGTAAAGCCTCAACCCTATAAGTAATTTTAGGTAGTTGTCTAAAAAGTGTATTATAAAAATAACGAAATAATAAACTATTGATCGTACGATTTCAAGAGTTTAGTTTAGTGTACAAATAATGGTTAATGCAAGTTTTTTTATATTTTCGCCAACATATTATATACAGATATTTTATTTTATATCAAGGGAAGTGCTTTAATATTTTTTTAGGCATACAAATAATAATACTAAATTGGTTAAGTTGTTAATCATTATTACTGTAAAAATTATTGTAGGGAGTTATTTTTTTTTATATAAAATATACACAAAAAATAATATTAAACTATTGTTGCTCTAGGGAATAATGGCGGGATCTTTTCCAAAAATTTTTAAAAAATCCTTTTTTCTTTTGAGTTTCTTCTCCTGAAACTAAAATAAAACAAGTTTTATAACAAACAAATCATTTTTTTTAAAGCGCTGTTAAATAATATGTAATAAAATGTCTGTATTAGGAATTAATAATAACAGTAATTTATCAATCACTACTATAAACATATAGGTAATTGCTTATTACAGGATAAAATACCTTTTTAATTAACAAGAATGTATAACTTAATTTTGTGTAATACTATCAGAACAAGTTAAATCGTGTTAAAATATTTTAAATACATATAAAATTTATAATTAATTAAAAAGATATTTTTATTGTTTCAACGTATTAATCATTATCATTCTCAATAATAAAAAATTGAATTATGCCTTACGACTCCTAATATATTGCCCAATCCACACGTTAACATTTTTAACAATTTTTAAGACATTTAAATTAAGTCGATAATTTTTAATTTACAAAGTGCAAACATAGCTTTAGCAGACGGCGTACGCTGTCTCTTTCTACAGTGGTCAATGCAGTCAGCTAAAGCAGCGTTTACACTTTGTGAATTAAAAATTATCGGCTTTAAATGTAATGTGAATATGTTTGTGTTAAAAATGCATGTTGTTAAAAATAAAATTTAATGTTGTTGGTTTAAATTTCCCAAGAGTCTATAAATGATGGTCGATACACTTTTAATCCAAAAATTATCACTTTAAAATTTAAAGTATTTAAGAGAAATAAAATGTGTTAAAAATTTATCGACTATAATTGAAATAACCAATAATTTTGTAGGATAAAATATTAAAAAAATTTTGCTTTTAAACTATTTTGGTAGAAAATCTTTTATATGTGTTTTTATTTTAAATACTAAAAAAATTAACTTTACGAATTTAATCTTAATAATTTTATAAAATATTTATTTAAGATTTACAAAATTCTGCCCAAATAAATTATACTTAAGAAGTTTTTGAAAAATTGATTGGAAATAATATTGTTTAACACTAACAGTAAATTTTGTCTTTTAATACATGACAGTTGAGAATATTTTAAATTTATAAATGTAAACCTAAAATTTTAAGTTGGGAAAATTTTAAACCAATAAATTTTAAATTGAACAATTATTTAATTAATGTTAAAACGGCGTGCCATACAAATATCAATTTTAAGGTTAATTTGTGGGTTGTAATAAATTAAGCTTAAAATTCACATTTAACTGTTTAATGAAAGCCCTGATAGAATAAGGTTTATTTATACTGGTTATATATCAATAGGTAGTTACTTATTTTGCTTGATTATTTTTTTGTTCATGACATTCAAAAAACGATCGTCGTATCACAAAATATATTTTTATCTTGTTATTTCCTGCCTTGTACAGTAAAACGTTATTTAAATTCTTATCGTCTACTTACTAAAACAAATTTCCTTCCTTAAAAACAAATTGCAAGGCTGTCAGAAAATAATAAAATTTCACGCCCTCTAATGATCTATACAGTTAGGTACTATATACTTAATAATAAATAATTTGTTTTTAATTTAATCGATTATAGCCTAGATTTAGACCAAATGGGTTAGGTTTTTTACTGACAAAAAAATTCATTATTTACTACGTAAGACCAATAAAAAAATTCGACTCCTGTCAGATCTAACTAACCTCACTTTATACTTTTAATATTTTTTTATTATTTATTATTTTACGGTTTAGACCTGGCAACACTGTTTGTGTGGATTAGCATTTTACATCATTTAATGCACTTATAACATTTAAAAGGTTTGCCTCACAATAATCACAAATTATTTTAATGACATACAAGTACTAAAGAGACAAGCGGATAACAAAAGTATGTAATGGCATTTTACGATTAAAAATATGCGCCCCAATATCAATGATAAATTATGGAACCAGTGCTTTGTGGCTTATGCTGATAAAAACCAGATAAGTGTTTAAAACAATTTTAAATTTTCTTTTTAAAAATCCGATAAGAAATTTATTTTTTTCCCTTTAAATTGTAAATTTTAGATTAGATAGGTAGGTATAGTGGTATTAATATCTCATGGCGGGTGACCTTGGGCGCGCAAACGTCACAAATCCGTCAAATCGCGCTATTACTCACCGTCCTAAAAACATAATACCCCAGGGTTGGCAATGCTAGCATCAGCTGATATTTATTGACATATTTAAACATATTTATAGGCTAGAAATTCTATTATATTTGTTATATCATATTTGTCATATCATATTTCTTATAACTAATATTATATTTGTTATATTATATTAAATTTTGTTATAATATTCAGTAGCGTGCAAAGGTGATCGGGGCCCCCCCCGCAAATTTTAAGCTGGGGCCCCTTTGTCACTTATACCACCCAATGTGGTTCTCTACGGGGCCCCCCTAAGGTCGGGGGCCCCCCCGCACCGCGGGCCCTGCGGGGCCCGTCCTGCACGCCACTGATAATATTATATTTCTTATATTATATTTGTTATACGAAATGAATAACGGCAAAAAAGAAGTCATTAATTCGGATTATACACAGATTCTATTCTTTTTTTTACTGAAATCCATTATATATTTTACAGATCATTGCTTAACAATTGAAGACCTTGCTGCAAAAAGGGGGTAACTTTTAAAAAAGTGACTTTTACACCCTTACAACTGTGAACTAGACTATTCTGCATTGTTTAATGCAAAGATGACTCAAAAATAACTTTTATGGAGTTACCTCCTTTTTGCAGCAGGGTCTTCAATTGCAGTCATTATCTAATGTTACAATATATTTCATAAAATAAAGAAAAAAATGCTTTACTATATTAGTTGACAGATGACAGATTTGGGAAGCATCCAGACATTTAAGTTAACTTAAAGGTCTATGGAAGTGGCGGATGTTTTTAGTTTCCATTTATTTATTAAATTGAATGGCGTCTGTCAGCGTCTCTCAAGGTCACCCGCCATGAGATATTAATACCACTATACTGTATTTATTTAATGATTTAATTTGTATTTCTATATGTAATATGTAATCTATATACAGGGTGCGGTAAAAAGGTTGCCCCATTTTTAAAGGGTCATTGCTTGACTCGTTGGGGGGATAGAGCAGTGCGCGTGGTGGCTTTAGGTAGGTACGTGCATGCCATATTCAGTCATAATGAATCTGTCATAAATATTTGGGAGGCCAATAAAAATCAAACTTTTAATTTTTAACGGTCCATTAATTACGCGAGGGTTTTTTAAAATAAAATGTAAGGGCAAAGTTGTCTTTTTACGGGGTGATATTGGGTGGCCTCCGCGTTCGCCTGATTCGACCCCTTGCGATTTTTTTTGTGGGGGTATCTAAAATCACAACTTCTTAAACATAGTCCACAAAATTTGGAAAATCTAAAGGCAGCAATAAGGCAAGAAATCAACGCAATTAAAGCAAGACATGGCGCGCAGAGCAATGGCGAGCTGTCGTAATAACTTCAAATGTCCATTGACAATAACAGCGGTCATTTAAAGACATTATTTTTAAAACATGAAATGTATAAAATACTATGTTTCCTAAAAATAAAAAGCTTTTTTCTTAGTTTGATTTTTATTGACATTCCAAATATTTCTGACAGATTAATTATGATGACTGAAAATTAGCAAAGATATCCAATTTCAATGTGGATTTTCAAAACAAAGAATTCTCAACATCCGATATATAGGGGTGGACCTAACATTGCCCCCTAGGTTGGTGTTTAAGCCTTTTATAATATGAAATACAAAGCCCTTTTATTTTTAGTACAAACAGTAAAAATAGATCCTTGTGGGGGACCCAAAAACATCTTGACAAAGTACAGCGTGCCATGAATTTTTTTATTTATATCTCATTTCATGGAGCAATTGCTCTTAAATATCGCTAGAAATGGCTCGTGTAGGCTGAACATTAACTAATGGTTGGTGAAACCTTTATGCTTTGTAAAAATAGATATAAACACTTTTACCGATCGATTAGAAAATTGTATGTAAAATATTCTCGAACTAAGTAGGTGTACGAATTTAAATACATTTTTATTTAAGTATATGAAAAAAATATTAACAAATTTATAATTATAATTGTCACACAAGATTTATTTATTGGGTCGAAACCCACGTCAATTTTGAATTTATTGTGTGGTTTTATCTCTTTTGTTATTCTATCAGGGCTGTCATCAAACTATCAAATGTCAATTTTAAGGTTAATTTACCATAACCCACAAATTAACCTTAAAATTCACAGTTTGATTTAGTTGTTTTTTTACTTGGGTATCTAAATTATTAATTCCCAGACATGCAACAAAGACAAATTTTTGTGGAAAATTTTACTCTTCACAAAAAAGGTCTTTAAAGATTTTTTCGTAAAACCATCCATTTAAATAATATAGGATCCTCGAGGTCAAAGTTTAAAGTATATAAAACAATAATTGTTAATTATTAAAAATTAAAAGTATCATCATTTATAGTTATTTTTAAAACTCTTAACTACATGAAGTAAGTAAATTGCAAGACTTGTTTTATCTTGACATTTTTATGGGATGGACAATGTTTCTCCAATTGACTGTTCTTATCGCCAGGAAACACGTACGATTTAAATGTACTGAAAGAATAATTCAAAACAGAAAATCTATCAAAAACAAAAAAATCGTCATATCTTCGTTATTCTTGGAAATTTTTAATAAAAGTAAGTAAATTTTGGTAGTCGAATTAATTATTTTTATTTTGTGAATATTTAACCGCTTATAAATGCGGCCATACAAATTTAAAACCCATTTAAATAATTTTAAATTCCACTTACCATTCGCATTTTCATGTATTGTGGGTGACACCAAATCTTTTTCCTTTTTAGATTCTTTACCATTATTTCCTGTAAAAAAATAAATATTTATATAAACCGCAAAATGTAATCAAGAAACTATTTAATTAATACTTTTATATTTTTATTGAGACAATAAAATAATTTTTACATTATTTTACAAGAAAGGCACTATTGTATGACATTTGACAACTGTCAACCAACTTATAGCTAACTTCAAAGATATTTATAAAATTAAAAAATAAGAGTCCTTACATAAGGTAAGACACCTTATTTCAAATGTAATAATAAAATTCTATTGACTTGGCGTAAATACAGTGGCGTAACTACCACCGGTCCTACCGGTTTCAGAGACCCGGGCCCCAAGCACCAGGGGGAAAAATGTTCAATATGAAAAAATAAAAATTTTGTTTTTTTTGTAGTATTTAATATTCGTTGCCAGCTTGATATTATATTTCTATTTTTTTCTTTTTTCTTCTTCAAATTTCTGAACTCAAAATTTGGAATTAAATATTGTGAAATAAACATAGGTAGGTTAATTGTGAATTAAAAATTACAAATCTAGAATCATAAACTCGAAATCGAATACTTCAAACCGAAAGTCTGAAACCTTAAATAGGAAATATACATTCTTAGTTAAGAATAGAAATTCAGAGATAAAAAAAATTGCAATCTAAAATATTATTAAAGAAATTTTCGATTTCACATTTACAATTTTGGATAAAAAAATCAGGATTCAAACTCTTAAATTCGAAATCATTATAATATTATATATAATAGCATAAATTAGTAGTACTATAAATTAATTTAGCATATATATGTTTGCAATGAGACAGTTTGAAATATTGGAATAAAATATTCTTTGAAACGTAAATCTGATTTGAAGTATAATACCATAAAAATAAAATGTTTTACGTGAATAACAATTGATCCTTTTTTAAGTGGGAAAAGTTTAAATGATTCAAAAAAAAAATCTGGTAAGGGCCCCCTAGTGAAAATTCGACTGGGGCCCCCAGTTCTATAGTTACGCCACTGCGTAAATAAATTGAAAATACTTTCTCTGAAATTCCCCTGACTGACAATATGCCACCGAAACTCGAGTGAAATAAAATCGTTAATTCACGAGGCCGATAAGTTTAGTAAAAAATGGCCATTTTCGAAATACACAACCACCGTTCAAGGCCGCTAAGAAAGCCACCGTTGCGTCATTACACACCGGTTTCTGTAAAATGCATGTGCAGTATAAAAATACAGTAAACAAGATAAAATTTCCACCGTCAAATTTAATCCACTGATATCATTAATTGTGTTTCTGTTTCAGAAGTGCCCGGTGATATTAAAAAAACTGTTTATAATTTTTGTATCTCCAATAGGTGTTTTTTTCTATATTTTTAATCGTTTTTTGTAATATGTAACCAGTATAATTGTAGTTAAAGAAAAAGTTTCTCAATAGTATACCTATAGGTATATAGGTATACCTATAGGTATATAGGTATATATACCTATAGGTATAGCTATTATTTTAAAAATATAAGTAGGTAGTAGGTAATCTCAATAATAATTTATATAGTATTAATATACTTAAGTAAAGGTTGTAAAATTCGACATATTTATTAATAATAATTAATTAAGCTTAAGCTAGTCCATGAGATAGTCTTAGCTGATGAATTAAAAATGCCATTTTAGTTTTGAATAAAAATAGAATTAAACTGTATACCTATAAAAATAATTTCTTAATTATGGCAATAAATAATTTCGAGTTAAAAATACAAAATGATGTATGGGAGAATGTGTGCACAAATAAAACTTATTTTTGGATTATTTCATTCCACCTATTTAAAATAAATTAGGCATTTAGTTGGCCAATTAAAATCACAATTAATACGAATTGTAATTTATAATTTTTTAATAATAAAAAATCAGGTTAAGGCTGGTTAATCACCAATCTATTTATACCCATTATACATATTAATAGGTATATTATTATAAATTTTTTCTGTGTTTTGACAATTTTATTGAAGAATTTATCTGCAAGGAAGCGGTGTAGGAGTTGGGGTATAATCAATTATCTAAGTGGATTGGTTGGATAAATTTAAATAAAAAGACCCAACTGCCATCTCTTGTAAAGTAGGAGTATTAATAGTTAAGAGGTGTTTTTACTGTATCAGCAATGTGGTCTGTGAAATAGTTCTGGCGTTTGCTCATAGGTGGCGCCAGCCAATTCAAATACAAAATTTTAAAGGAATTGACAAACTTTTTTATTCATTTAAATCAGGGTTTGCCTGATTTAAATTATTTGATTTAAATCACGATTTAAATCAAGTGATTTTTTCATTTTAATCAATGATTTAAATCAGTTTTAAAAAAATGTTCTAAAATCTAAAAAAAAACACTTAAAAGATCTAAAACTATAAAGCACAATAATATCTTGACACTAATTAAATAAATTCATATGCATAGAAAAAATGCCTATTTTGTTAAATAAAATAATAAAGGAATATACAAAAAAATATGACAAATGCAGACCATGGTTTATTTGTTTATAAAGTAGTGCTATTAGCAGAGCTGTTCCAAATACAATGAAAAAGTACTCGAGTACTAAATACAAGTACTGTTATATAAAAGTACTCGAGTACCAAGTACAAGTACAGTACCGTTGTACTCGAGTACCCATACGAGTACAAAGTACCGAGTACACTTTAGTTATGAAATGTTGGGAAAAATGCCAGAGAAATGGGGCGAATAAGAAATGAATTTAGAATCACTAGTGCAAAACTAAACACTAGCCGGCCTATTGCCTTCATCAAATATTGATATTTCGCTTTATGTTAATTATCAAGGCCGGCTAGTATCATGTTTCACTTTGCCTTAGCTTTATTTTTTAATTATCTTTTTGAGGAATATTGTCACCTTATTTCTACCAAAATATAAACAAAATTACATTTCATACATAAGTAAAAACCTTTTGTTCAATGCTCTTTTTTGTGTCTTTTTATTTATTGATTGAGGTTGTTTTAAGGCTGTCATGTGAGTCAAGCTGGCTGATGCTGCCTCAGGCAGCATGTCCGTAATTTGACAAGTCTGAGCAGTATTGCCAAATTTTCAACACCCACGCACATATGTGTCCACGCCAACCTCACTGCATAAAAATGTACTCATTGCATACTTTGGATGTACTCGAGGACACGTAAAAGTACTCGAGTACACGGGAAAGTAATCTAGTACACGGGAAAGTACTCGAGTACACAGGAAAGTACTCGAGTACACGGGAAAGTACTCGAGTACATCTTAAATGTATCAAGTACAAGTATAAGTACATTCAAATTAAAGTACTCGGGACTGAGTACCGAGTACACTGAAAGTACTTGGAGTACAGTGTTTGAGTACTTGTACTCGAGTACCGCACAGCTCTGGCTATTAGCACTACTTTATAAACAAATAAACCATGGCACTGTGCTAATATGATATTATTATAGTCGAGTTATTTTTAGTATTTTTTTTAATAGTACCAAACTTTATTAAAAAAGTCTATAATTAAAAAAAAAATTATATATATAAAAAAACACATTTTTTTGATTTTTTTTAAATCATTATTTTTTTTTAACCCCAAATTGTAATATTTTTAAAAGTAAGTAACAATAATAAAATTTACATTTTATTGAATAATATTTAGGGACTAATATTTTTGCAGTTTTTGTTAGTTATTTTTTTATAATTTTGTTTGGATTTCTATTTTAGAAATTCATTAAAAAAATACTTAATTTCTGAGCGCATTTTACATTATTTAACAAATATTCGTACCCATGCATGGGTTTAATTTTTTTGTTGGTAAGAATTTATAAATAATAAAATAAAGTGCATAGTTTTCGAGTTATCAATTTTTATCGTTAAAATTTGAAAAATGCGCGTCAATCAAAAATGGAATTTTTGGAATCTTAAAACATTGTTTAAAAAACTCTTTGGCAAATTAGGCTAACTAAAAAGGTTAATAACATTTTCATTTTACATGTAACACTAGACTGGGCCAAAAAAAATCGACTATTTTTTTGTATATCGAAAATGTTGTTTGGGGTGACAAAAAAAATTATTGTGAAAAGTCTATCATCGCAATTTTAATTTTTTTTCCTGACCGAGTTTTTGTCTCAGAACTCCCAAACCATTGAGTTTAACAAAATTACCTCAGATATATTTTTTTAAGAAAATTAAATCCTCTACAAAGGTATTAATGAAATTTTCCGTCAGATGAACCGTTTCCTTAAAATCATGCCTTAAAATTTGGTATAGTTTTACAATTTGATCTTATAACTTTGGAATTTTGTAATTCATGTAAAAATCAGTACCCGGAAATAAACCGATAAATATTCTTATGGGAAATAAATTAAGATAAAAATTAAATTTTCACATACCTTTTCTGATCAACAAGCTAGTCACTCTACGTAGCGCATCTCTTGGAGATCGATGAAAAAATTTGGGGGTTAAATTCGGCGGTAAAGTCAAAGGTTTCCTGCTGGACTCCCAAGGATTCTGACCGGGAGCCAATCTGTCCAGATGCTCTATCGAAACCGGCCTCCTTGTCCTCTGTTTCGGGTACCAACCCCTACCTAAAAAATAAACTATTATGTTGACGAATTTCTTTGTTTGTGTTGACTTTCAGGAATGCCAAAGTCGATTTTCTTACCCGGTCCACCAGCAAGTCTCAGTAGTTCAGCTCCGACAATCGCTTGTTCCAATCCAGAGTTGGACTTTCCTCTCCTGTAACCGCCAGTCGACAAATTTCCAATTGTGTTTAAACTGCCCATGGTGTTACTTTGTCTTGGGGCCGTTTGACTTCCCGGTATTTCTGGGGCACGTCGGTGCGGAGTTCTAGGAATGTCACAACCTAAAATAAGTTTTCATATCATGGTGTCATCAAATAAGCTGTCAGTTGTCAAAGAAGAAAGTTTTTCCTCCATCATTTTTTATTTTTTTTCATTATTATTATTATTAGAGCTACTGTTTTTTAATTAAAAAATTATAAATTTTTTTTACAAAACCATCATCAAGATTTTTAAAAACACGGAAAACAATAAAAAAATTGTTCGATTTTTTTATTCTTCTTATTTTTTTTCTATTCCATGGTTTCCCCAACAAATTCCAAAAGTAAGTATAAAAACAAAAAAATCAAATAAGGAAGGAAAAAAAGACAAAAAAATTTCCAAAAGTTTTAAAAGTCCTTAAAAAAGTTTCCAAAAAAATCAAAATAAATTCAAAAAGTAAAAAAAAATTTAAATGAAGTTAATAAAGGTCAAAAATCCCAAAAAGTCAAATAAACTCAAAAACAAATCCAAAAAGTTGAAAAGATAAAGGCAAACAAATTACAAAAAAAATTAAAAAGTCAAAAAACAAAAAAATCGTATAAGTTATAAAAAGGCAAACAAATTTCCAAAAAGTTAGGTAGGTATATTTTTACATTTGAACAGAAAAAGTTCAAAAAAAGTAAAAAAAAAACAAATAAAGGGTCCAATATACATAGGTGTCAGATTTAAAAAAACAGAAAAAAATTTAAACATCGCTTGAATTTCTTTTATTTTTTTTTTACTTTTTTTTCTATTCCAGGGTTTTCCCAACAATTAAATATAACATTTTTAGTTGTTTGGTGCTGTTTTTAAGTATTTTTTCAAATTAATACTGTTTTCTTTTTAAAAACAAATATTTACTGAGAAGGGCTAAAAAAAACTGTACCTCTGGCAAAAATTGGGGTTTCGGGCAAGCTGCACGAAGTCTGCAGATGCAGCTCCTCCTGGGGCGAATGCGACGCCCTCTTCTGGTAGGGCCGACGTTTGTCGAGCGGTTCGCTCGGCAGCGTCCGCCTCTCATTCGCCACGTTCCGATTGGAGCTGTTGTAGTAGGTGCGCCTACCGCGATTGTAGTTTACGTCCATCGAACGCGTCTTCAGGCTGTTGGAGCTCGGCTCTCTATGCGGAGGAACTAAAACATGAAATGTTGAGATTGGTTTAAAAGTATTAAAATTAAATATAAATTTAGGCTTTAAGATCATTAAATTTATTAGAGGTGCGAAATTTAAGAACTATATTAAAATAAGTTACTTCATTCGTAAATCTTAACACAACTTTACGCATTTTTCAAAACTCTGTGGCGTTTTTAAAAATTATTTAAGAAATATAGGAAAACAATTTTTAATGACAAATGAGTAGATTGCAAATATCAAATTCTATGTCAGATATTTTGTATGTCTGCAATTTTTTACAATTGCCCTTCAATCAAGCGGATAAAGGGGTTAAGTAATAATTTTAATAACAATGAACAAAAAATATTGTATTTTAATTGTCTCTGTTATTTAATAAAAATCATAAAAATATTACATTTTAAAGTAATTCAAAATTATTAATTAAGCACTACTGACGAAACAATATATTTCATAAAAGCTTTTATAATTAAACTATTTATTTTATTATAACAAAATCATTTGAATCTACATATATTGCATAATATTGTTTTTTTTCGTGAACGGTATAAATTCCCTGCCTAACAAAGGGAATTTACGTTGTTAGGCATTAATGATTGGCCGATTTCAATATTCACTGTGATTTAAACCAATTGGGTTGTAAATTGGGAGAAGGCGACTATTATAACTTTTAAAATTGGTAAAAAGTGGGGTTAATCATTTGATAGATGTCACTTTTTTGTATTTTTGAAAATTAATTATCCACTTATTGGAGTAGATAAAGTATAGTATTACAATCGAGATAGAGAGTTAAAAAAAAAGTTCAAGAAAAGCCAAAAAGAAACAAAGACCAAAAATTACAAAAAGTTAAAAAGTCCTTAAAAAAGGCAACCAAGTCTCAAAAAAAAGAGGTAAAAAAAAATTAAAATAAAGTTTATAAAGGTAAAAATTCTCAAAAAGTGAAATACACTAAAAAGCAAATCCAAAAAGTTAAAAAGAAAAAGTCAAAAAAAAAATAAACGCAATTAAATCCCAAATAAAATTGATTGACAAGAAAAAAAGCAAAAAAAAACAGATAAGAAAAAATTGAACCTACACCTCGCCTAAGTTTTTTGTTTTGAGTGCGTTTCACCAACTTCAAATACCGACAGATAGCTGTTTCGACCTATATTGGGTTTCATCAGTGTCGGGCAACTTGGTGTGGTGGAACACACTCAAACAGATAAATAAAAAACAAAGTCATCAAAAGGCAAAAAAATCTCCAAAAAGTTTGAATAGTCCATTTAAAAAAAGTTAACAGTCCCCAAAAATAATCAAAATAAAGTCAAAAAAAAAATTTTAAAGACCATTTGGTTCTTTGAAGAAATATAAAAAAGTTTAAAAAGTCAAATGAAGGAAAAAACTCCAAAGAACAAGTCAAAAAAAGTAAAAAAAAAGCCCCAAAAGAAAGATAAAAAAGTATAAATAAAGCCTAAAAAGAAAGTTAAAAAACCAAACAACAAATACAACACAATTAAAATAAAAATAAAAAGCCCAGAAGGGTAAAAAAGTCAAATAATAAACTTTAAAACAAATCCTAAAGGAAGGTTAAAGAGAAAAAGTTTAAAAAGTCAAAAAGACAAAAAATTTAAAAAGTAAAAAGTAAAAAAAATTAAAGAAAAACTCATAAAAAGGCAATTAATATTCAAAAAGTTTTAAAAGTCCATTTAAAAAATCAAAAAAAAAACACCAAAACGTTACAAAAAAGTCAAATAAAGGAAAAAAAGATAAAAAAAGACAGGTGGAAAAAGTAAAAAAAGTACTAAAAGTCTAATAAAAGTCTAAATAAATTTAAAAAAAATTCAAAAACAATGTTAATATGTTAAAAGTAAAAAGTAAAAAAAAGTCCAAAAAGAAAAAACTAATAGGAGAAAAAACCTCATCCCCGTTAATCCCCAAAAAACCGAAAAAAGTCCGAAAAGTCAAAAAAGAAATTAAAAAAACAAAAAAAAATACAAAAAGAAACGCCGGAAAAGTAAAAAAATTGACAAAAAAGCAGAAAAAGCAAAAATAAATCCATTTAAAAAAATCAAAATAAAGTCAAAAAAGAAAATTAAATAAAACTAAAGAAATAAAAAAAGGTTAAAAAGTCAAATGAAGGAAAAACACCAAAGAACAGATAAAAAAAGTAAGAAAAAGTTCCAATAGAAAGATAAAAAGTCTAAATAAAGTCTAAAAAGAAAATAAAAAATTAAAATAAGTTAAAAACGTCAAAAAAATCAAATAATACAATTAAAACAGATACAAAAAGATGGTTAAAGAAAAAAAATTAAAAAAAGTTTAAAAAGTCATAAAAAGGCAAAAAAATACAAAAAGTTTAAAAAGTCGATTAAGTCAAAAAAATCCGAAAAAAGTCGGTTAAGTCAAATTTAAAAAACCAAAAAAATACAAAAAGTCAAATAAAGGAAAAAAAGATAAAAAAGAAAGGACGGAAGAGTAAAAAAGTTAAAAGTTCCAAAAAATTGACAAAAAAGTAAAAAAAAACCAATAGGAGAAAAAACCTCATCCTCGTTAATAATAGCCTGCATTATCTCTCGTATAATAATATATTATTAATTGTATTATTTATCTATAATAGGTAATATAAATAAATTTATAAAAGAGTATTTAGTTTTATTTTCAATATTTTGTTACAACTTAATTTGGATGCAATTTTCAATATTTTTTAAATAATTATTTAATATAATAAAACCATTTTAAAGTATTTTTAACTTTAGTCTATATATTTCTTAAAATTATGTTGATGTGACACGCTTTTGAGAATCTTCTATACGATTTATTTTTTTGTCGCAAATATTTTTTTATTTTTCTTTTAAACTTTGTTTCCATCTTTGGAAACATTGGAATATATTACCGGAAACTCGGAAAATTCTAAATTTGAGTGAAATATCTTACCTGTCGGTGGTTCGTGATTTTTCGGCAAACTTTCCGTATGGATCTTTTGACCGGGCGCGAGTATTTCCGAATACTCGTCATCGTCCTCTTCGACTGGCGAAGGAGGCAGAGGCGGGAACTCGTGCTGCAAAATTTCCACTCTCACCGGAAAATCGGCCGACGTCGAAGTGGTCAGCGGACGATTGTCTCTATGAGCGATCAACATCTCCTTGGCGCTCTCAGACTTCTGTATCCCGTTGCGCTTCGGTAGGTAGTCTTTGCTGCCTAAAATGAGAAAATTTTTAGTTTTAGTTTCTTCCTGAAATAAACAATTACCTTCAATAAGCAACTGTCTATAGTACTCCTCGGATTTCTGTATCTCATTGTGACTACTACTTTTCTGCAACTCATTTCTGTGTTTGGACTCCCTAACGGGTTTATTTGGCGCCTTTCTTTTGCCCTTTCTATCTTTAGTCAAATTTTCCACTCCATTCAAAATGCGCTTTTCGTCTTCAACGATCTCGATATCTCTTCTTTCCAAGAGTTCCGTGATGTTCTGCTCGATTTTACGTAGCGGGGAAATCTCAGCGCTCTGTTGCGAAGTTTCCGTGTCCTCCTCTTCTTCCACGGTGGTGTCAAGTTGACGGGAAGGGGTGTTGAAATCTTCCGCGTTAAGTGAAGGAAGACTTACAACCCTAACGATGGGATTTATCTGTGGGGAAAGCTCTATTGTAGCCTCATCAGTCGGCGATGTAAACTCGATTTTTCCTTCTCTTATTAGGGATTTGATGTTGTCGAAGGTGGTACTGTGTTTCTTCATTTCGTGCTTGCTGTGTGGGGTACTGCTTCTGGAGCTCGAAAAGTCTATACTTTGTCTTGAAGGGGAGCTGCTCAACTCTTGACTATGGCGTTGGTTGTTTAAGTCCAGACTGAATCTGGATTTCGGCGAGTTCAACTCTTGACTCAACCTTGAATGAGTACCCATATCCACGCTGTACCTCGAGTTGGGAGTGTTTAACTCCCTACTCAATCTAGAGTTTAGATCGGTACTGTATCTCGAGGCTGGTATGCTGAACTCCGAACTCAATCTAGAATTAATAGAAGAGTTCGAAGTGGCGGAACCTCCCATGGTAGCCAAAGATCGACGATTATTTTTACCCTTTCTGACCACGTAAGTACTATTACCACTCAAGTTAGAAGTGCCCAACTCAGCGGGTAAAACGATGTGATCATCGGAGTCAGAGAAAGGAGACGTTATCTCGTCTTCCGTGGTGCATGGAGGCGGATCTGGCCAATCATCCAGCTCCTTCAAGCGGTTCGGGATGGAACTAGTGCTGGAGCAAGATCCCGATTTCCTTCTGCGTCTGCCTATAACTTTAGTACTCCCTATAGAAAAATTACATGTCCATAAAAGACAATGCTACAATGAACAAACTCTTACCAGGTCTGAGCAGTGTTTCCTCATCATCCAGAGGCACCTCCCAGGCGATGCTGGCTCTTTTATTGGGGGTTTGCGGGGGTGGAGGCAGAATTTCTTCCAGGGAATCATCCGAGAAGTGTTCATCGTCAGCTAGTTCGCTTAGCGGTCTTAAAACATTGTCTTCCATATCGCTGGATAAATCTTCACTAGCGCTTCGTTTTGCCTACAAAATTTATAGATGTAGATGTTATCAATAGATACCGAAAAAAAGTCATAAGATGTGAGAATTGCTTTAAAGGCATTATATCAGAGGGATGCCAATTTACATTGGCAGTTCGTTGTTACAGATTTTCATCATGTTGCATGAAGTTGAAGTGAAGAAAAAGAACTGCCATTTTCTAGGTATATAGTGTTTATGCGTACAAGGATTTCACTACAAGCAGGACAATTTAAAAATAAATTTTCTCAGTCACAGAGGAAAAAGAAGATTTATTGAGTTTAAAGATCTATTGTGAAGTGAGCAAGGTATTTGTAATTTTTGCATTGAATTTTAATATTGATTTCTTTTTTATTTTAGAAGTCACAAACAATTTCACAATGAGTTCTTAATGTTTAATAAAACATAATTCTTGATAGCCTTATCGTAATTCTATTTGCCTCATAATTAGAGATGCGACTTGAAAAAAAACGGTCCGTGTTTTTTTTTTTCAGGTTTTTTTTCAAATGGTTTTTAAATACAGTCTCGCGCTATGCACGCGCCACCACCACCGAATTGACCAATAAGGGCCGCACTTGTTTTGATTTGGTCCTAAAAAAAGTAACTACCTATAATATTTTTGATTCAGCACTTGATTTTTCAAAAAGCTACGAAAAGCACTTTTTTCATGATTTTTAAAACTCATGTAGAGTATGGAATTTTTTTTTAAAAAAAACAATAGCAAATTCTTGTGGTTGGTTGGTGGTTAAGTCAGAACATTTCGTGGACCATAAAAGAAAGCCAAAAAAATTTGAATTTATTCTTTAGCGTTGCACGTTTTTCATGTAAAAATCTCAAAACTAGAAACTTCAAACTTCAAATTGCTTGCGAAGATACAGCTATCCGAAAAATCGCAAAAAATTTGGAATTTTTATCCTTTAATTTATTCTATTAGTGTAGAAGTTTTACATTGCTATTGGTTTCTTATGTGGAAACTACCAAATAATAAGAAAATCAGATTTTTGAAAAATGTAATAATATTACAGTAATATTTCTACATTTCACTTTATTATTAATATATGTAGGTACCTATATTCTACTCAAAATTTCATTTTGAAAAATTACTTTAAGATTGATGTTATTTATAGACAGAATATGCTTTATTGTAGCGGATTTAAAAAAAAAACAAAAAAAAACCGTTTTTTTTCTAGTTTTTTTTTTCATGTTTTTTTTCACATCTGAAAAAACACGTTTTTTTACATCTCTACTCATAATATTATAACACGTATAAAGGTATTTTTCTAGAGAGTTTACATGAACACGAGGACTTCCTCATTCTGGGGCTGTAGAGTTTCAGAGGTCCTTTGACTTGGCTTTGAACAACGCCAAGCAACGTGCCAGAAATCAAAGAAAAAAGCCTTATTTTGCAAAACAAATTAAAATACTTTTTTAGGATTCTTTATAAAAACAATATTTTGTTTCCAATTTTTATTATTTAAAATGTTTTTTAATTAGGTAGGTATGTTTTTTTAAACAAATTTTATTTTCTTAAATATTTTTTTTTTATATTTAATTGTTTTCTATGCCTGCATTTGTAATATATACAAAGCGTTTTATTTACCCATTTTCAAATATTCTTTAAAAAATTAATATATTTTAATGTAAACGAGAAAAAGCTTTTTTAATAATATTCTTTCAAAAATAATTGTAAATACTCTGAATTCATTACCTCTCTACGTCTTTCCATGGAAAGTCTCTGTGATGGTGATATTCTTTGAGGAATCCTTGTTGGAGAAGTCAAGGGATAGACTCCATGGTGAAAAGGCAAACTCCCGTAGCGATACCCTGGAGGTGGGGGTGGGGGTTGCAAAGCAAAATCGTTATTTTCCCAACCATACGGACGTTGATGTTTAGTTTTTGGCTAAAATAAAATAAAAATACAACAAAATATTTGATTTTTTATATCAAAAAAATGTCTTACAAATGTGGTTTGGGTGGCAGTATGTATGGGATCCGGGATACCATTGATGATCGGATTGTATTCGGTGATGTTCTGAAACTTTTGAGGCGGAGGGATCGTGTCCATTCTTAACGGTAGAGGTGGTATTTGAAAGCCTCTACTTCTATTATTGGTCAACTTAGGTCTATGGGATGGAGATACTCTGAAACGTAGAATACTACATATTTTTTCCTTAACTTTGATTATTGCTCTTACTTCGGAAGGAGAGTTGCAATAAGTCTTTGAGCTTCCTCTGGAGGAGGAGGAAAATCGTCTTCGTTCTCAACATTTTGAACCTGTATTGCTTCCAGATGCACCGGTATTTCGGCTAAAGCTTTAAACCCTACAAAAACGCGTCGTACCACCGAATCAACATTGCAAAATGTGTTACGTACCTAAATTAAATTTAGCCTTTCGTCCGTTCATGCTCATGTAGCCGTCGTCCTCTGATTGGTGTCCCAGCGATGGACTCTCGTCCTCGGGCGTCGAATTGACCCTTGTGGCACTCCCCACGGTCGTCGTCGACGTGTTGTTGCTGTTGTTGATATTCGTCGGTTCGTTGTTGCGAAGCTGCAGCTGCGGTGTAGACGTGGACGTACTAATTTGAATCTAAAAATTTTTAATACAATATTTTTTTTCTTACATTATTTACTCTAAAACTGTTTTTATTCACCCCCAGAATGGTTGACGTCTTAATTAAGTCTGCATAGGCTCTATTTTATGATTTGGACGTCAAATACAACATCAGAAAGAAGTTTTTAAGAAGTTCTTAAGACTTCGAATGCGCCACCTCAATCAAGACTTCTCAAAAAAGAACTCTTGAGGAACCCTTTTCTTTGACTTCGCAATTAAGCATTTTAAAGAGTCCTACTGTATAAACTTCTTTAGAATTTCCCGTTTTGGATATAGAAGTAACTAGGGTACTGATGAAAAAATTACATACAGGATTTAGAATTTCCCGTTTTGGATATAGAAGTAACTAGGGTACTGATGAAAAAATTACATACAGGATCGTTGCTTATTATGACATGTCAAGTTTAATTACCATAGAACAAACGAATTTGTTAAATTGATTTTATTAAAATCATTTTAATAATTCGCTCTTTTGGAGCTCGTCAGTATCGGGAGCCGTTTACCTAGGTCTAAGACCGTTTGGTATGGAGCACGCTCTAAATTCTACTTCGCCGCTTCTTATATCAAACACAAGCAGTTACAGCGGTGAGAAGAAAGTAATCGCAAATGTCATAAACAGGCCCGTTCCTGGGGTGTCTGGCGCCTGCGTGCAGCATTCGTTGGTGCGCCCCTTTTATATTTAAATATAATACATTAAATATTTGAATTTTAAGCCGTAAAATTGAAAAAATTTATATTTTGCGACAAACTGGCAATATGTAATTGAAAATGTAAAAAAACTGCTTAAATTAAGTATAAAAAATATTTATTAAATTACCAAACAAACAAGTAATATCATAAGGGCATCTATTTTTTCGAAAAAATCGAAAAAACACGTTGCTAAGTAATATTTTAACAAGAAGCATGAGTGCTGGTGACAACAAAAATCCGAGTCGAAGACGAGGATTTTTGCACCTGCACGAATGCATTTTGTTAAAAAATATTACTTAGTATTGTGTTTTAACGATTTGATTTTTTTCACAGGAAAAGTTAGATGCCCGAATGGTATTTGACAAGACTATTTCATGAGTAACAGTTAACAATTAAAATATAAATTGCAATTTTTGGTGACAACAGCTGTCAAGTTTTGCCGCGGGTAAACTCGAAAAAACTGCTGACAGGTGCTGTGATACAGTTTTTTCACCTAGAAATTTGTAGTTCAAAATTGCGCGTTTGTGATTGGTGGAAATTAAGACGAAGGAAATAGTCAGTGATAAAAATACTCTAAAGAAAACAAAAAAAAAACAATCTAAACAATATAATAACTACAACTGGTTTTTGGTGACGTACTCTCTAAAAATGACTAGTTTTCAAAGTAAAAAAGCAGTCACTAATATCTTTAGTCCACAGCAATTTGTATCCCGGGCATTTAACAGCTTATTATTATGTAAAATTGTCCCCTGAATCCGAAAATACCGCCAAAAATTATAAAAGTAGAGCAGTTTTTAAGATATAGTCAATACCATATTATATGGAAAATTTACTAAATCTCAAAAACGTTTTACTTTTATAACTTTTGACGACATTTTCGGATTCAGCGGACAATTTTACATAGGAGTTGACTGCCAAATATCCGGGATACAAATTGCTATTGCTTTTTCGCTATTGCAATTAGACTAATTGAATTAGTCATTTTTGACTAATTCTATTTTAGAGAGTTACTACTGTTAAACTTTGCTACCGTCAACTGCAACTGTCAAACAAATACTAAAGATAATATTACCATTTCTTTCCTTTTATTTTGATCCTCATATCAAAACAAAATAAGCAGCCAATATTAAAGCGACAAAAGGCGCTTTATAGCGACCGAAAAAAAGAGCGGCCGACGCAAAAAAGGCAGAAACCTTTATCCAATGTATGTTTAAGTATTATATGCAAGAAAGTTTATCGTTACAAAGTACTGATTGACTCTTTAATTTTGCGCCCCCGAAATGTTGCGCCTGCGTGCATGCACGCACTGCACGCTCGCCAGGAACGGGCCTGGTCATAAATGTAACGTCTCCGTGTTGACGTCTTAAAGAGTAAATAATATGATTTCAGTAAGAAGTAAGAAAAGAGAATACTGTAAGATATCATATAACTGAAGTCTTATTTATGATACCCTTAGTAGCTTCTAATTTTGATTTCAATAAGAGGTCAGAAAAAAGATACTTTAAGATGTTAAAAAATTGACTTCTCATTTATGAATTCAAGAACCCTTAATCTTGAGCTCCTAAAAATGATTTCTCTAAGATTGTGACCTCAGTAAGATGTTTTTCAACAGACTTCGTACAGAAATCTTTCTGAATTGGATGCTGTCTGGGTTGGCTCGCAGAGTTGGTACTTTAAAAAATAATTAATTTCAAACTTACATTTTGGACTTGATTAGCATTTTCCACGTCATCAAATTCAGACAACACTCGATCTAGTAGTTCAATTGATCGTTGAACATCATCAGTGCCCCCTCTGAAAAAAAAACCAAAATATTTATGTTACTTACTACTTTTTCCAATAAAATAATTTTTTCTTAATAACTTTTTATGCAATTTTGAATTGAAAAATTGGGGAAAATGGTTAAATAATTTAAAAATATATACAGGGTTTCAGTTTTTCGAGGATAAGCATCGGTATCCCGCCATGTGTGGCGTGTATGTACCCCCGTACAACACAATAATAAAATAACAAATTTTACTAATCGAGACAAAAACTATAAAAGATAAGACAACAGTTTTATAGTAATTTATGTATAAAGTTTGATAAACGCCATTTTATACACGAATTTAATTTAGGCACGAGCAAGCTTGCGAGCGAGTGCTTAAATTAATGAGTGTTTAGAAAAGTTTATAAGCGAGGTGCATACTATACTTTTTCTACGACAAATACTTATTATTATCTTAAAATGATTTAAATCAAAAATTTGTATACAGCGCCATCTATGAAACAATAGGGGAATCTGTGAGTCACCGTCAAATGTCAAATGTCAAATTTTTTATTTTATAAATCGAATTGTATTTCTTGAATATTGACAGTTTTTCACAGAGAAAGTAAAGAAAATGTTTTTTGAGCACTTTACAGTGGAGTCCGTGCCCGACTTTAAGTTATAGTTTACTGCCGGCGAAATTAAAAGGTCAGTAGTGTTCATATAAACTTTTTAAATATTGGCGTTGAGAAACTATTTAATACTTTTGACAAAAGTCTTTTGTATTTTTATATTGCGATAATAAAATAATTTTCACATTTAATATTATTTTACAAGAAAGGCACTTTATTTTAACGATTGTATGACATTTGACAACTGTCAACTAACTTAAAACTAACTTCAGCCCGTGACTAAAAAACCTGTTGGTAACTTCAGCCCGTGACTAAAGCGCAATAAAGCCTCAACTTGTCAATGTGTATTTAAAAGGTCACTTAGTGTCATGGGAACATGTACGATAAAGGGCGTTTTAAAGGTGGGACTAGAAAAAATAATTTATTCTGAATCAAAACAAAAACACACACACTGCACCCACCACATCTTCAGTCATGTGATATAAATCCACCAATTAGAACAAGCCCAAACAGCGACAAAATAAAATACAATTTTTTTAAAGATATCTCGTAAACTAAAATTGGTAAGTCAAATGTCTTTTTAGTTTATTGATAGGCATGTTAATGCGCAACTTTTTTCTACTTTAACAAACTATGTATCTCTAAAGATAGGGGTGTTAGGCACAATCCTTCTTGGTAATATATATAATTAGATATTGTTTACAGGAATGCACATTTGTGTGCGGCCCTTGAAACCTATTGACTATTAATATTGTTTATGAGACATTTGACACGTTTAGTTAATTAGGCAAGCACCAGACTTAGGGTGCCTGGTGGTTATCGGCTGAGAAAGTATTTAGTCTTATAGTAATATTTGTACGAGTCGAAACTATTAATGTAGAATAAAAGTATTTGTGATTGGCGTGTGCAATATATTTGTTATTATTGCTAACAAATCAGAAGTGGGATATAAAAACCTTTTTTTTATTTTATGAATATATTAAAATTGTGTAAATTAAAGACAGTGAATAAAATTTTAGTTAAAAAGTGTGTAAAGCCTTAGTTGAGTAAATTTGGATACAATTAGAAGTTTGTGTTCGGGCGTGCGAGTTCAGTTCGAATCGGAGGTAGACAGCAATGAATTAAGCGAGTTGGTGACTGTGAAAGTGTTTGTACAAATACTAAAAGGTGTTGTAAAAATGTCTGATTCCGATGATATTCGCGGTTGGGTGAGTCCAAAAGGGGCGGTACTCATAAATATCGGTGAAGGCGATCGAGTTACGTCTAGAGAAGGGTGCAGATCTTCTGGTGGAAATCGCTCCAGGTCTAGAAAGAGTGAAGGAAGCGAAATACGGCAACTTGGTAACGTTATTGCAAAAAAAAAACATGCAGAAGGGCATGGACAGGTTAGCAAAAAGTTTGAGGGTAAGAGAGGCTGAGCAAGTGGTAAGTCTTACATTTATTCGTTATAATATTATTGGCAAATTTGATCCTTCTAAAAATAATATTTGGGATTAGATTGAAACGGTGGATGAATATGTGGAAATTTTGGAATGATAAAACCATAAGCCGTTTAGCGTTAAGCAAACTGAGGTTTGATATCGCGGTATACCTACTCGTATTTATACGTAGTTGAGATAAAAGAAATTACTTGTTAAAATGTACAAAAAAAGGGTTTACTAAATTAATGTCTAATGTTTATCAATAGTAAAACTCTCGTTAACTGTTGAGTATAATGTGGACCTAATAATGGAGAGAATTACAAATAAACAAAGACACGTTTGGCTAAAAATTCCAGTAACGCCAGCGGCGGAGACTGGGAGATAAGGGAATATTAAAATGAACTATCGGTAGTTACCTAGGGAGGTACTATAGTTACTATAGTAAATTATATTAAACGATGTTATTAATATGGTAAAACCGATTACTTTAAGCTTAGTTGTCCACAATGTGCCAAAGTACGAGCGATTGAAAATAATATTAATTATTTAGGTCCTAATGGCAATGAAAAATTCTATAAAGAATTATTTGTAAACAGTAATAAAATCAAGTGTTATTTTGTACCTAAATGTAAGTGTTCCCTGGGTATCAAAATGCGGCTGAAATGCTCTCGTCAGATTTATGGCCTCTGAAAACGAAGATTGTTTTGTCAGCACTTGCGGCCGTATATTTATGTATATATATTTATTTTAAGTATATAGGTATATATTTAATTTAAGTACAACTGTGATATTTTAATTATGACTGTGTTAGTAATAAATGTATATAGTGTAGGTATTTAAGTAATTTAATTATATTTATGGCTATAAGTATTGTGTGTGACAATTGTAATTGTAACATATTATGTGATTGAATTGTGATATACTCACTATATGTACATAAAGGTGTCCCTCTATAAACTATCTGTATAGGTTTTCTCTGTGGATAATTTCGAGCGAATGCTTGAATTTTATGTTATCAATGATCAAATAGCAGATGTAGATGTCCTCAGGTCAGGTTAATGAATTACCTGATATAAAGTACTGCAAAAGGGTACAAATTATAAGTCAATATTGTACGCAAAAAGAGCACAGTTGTGGTCACGGATAAAAATTAAACCGTGGATCATAGTGATATACTCGAATCGATTAAATCGATAAAGCCAGAACCAATCGTTAGTTAATTATAGTTAGTTATAGGTAATTAATTATATTTAGTTTTAGTTAGTTGGTGAAGTTTGGAGGGTTGTAGCCCGTGTAGGAGGTTGTCGCCTCGAGATTAGAGGGTTGTAGCCCGTGTAGGAGGTTGTCGCCTCGAGATTAGAGGGTTGTAGCCCGTGTAGGAGGTTGTCGCCTCGAGATTATAGGGTTGTAGCCCGTGTAGGAGGTTGTCGCCTCGAGATTAGAGGGTTGTAGCCCGTGTAGGAGGTTGTCGCCTCGAGATTAGAGGGTTGTAGCCCGTTTAGGAGGTTGTCGCCTCGAGATTAGAGGGTTGTAGCCCGTTTAGGAGGTTGTCGCCTCAAAAGTGGAGGGTTGTAGCCCGTTTAGGAGGTTGTCGCCTCAAAAGTGGAGGGTTGTAGCCCGTTTAGGGAGGTTGTCGCCTCAAAAGTGGAGGGTTGTAGCCCGTTTAGGAGGTTGTCGCCTCAAAAGTGGAGGGTTGTAGCCCGTTTAGGGAGGTTGTCGCCTCAAAAGTGGAGGGTTGTAGCCCGTTTAGGAGGTTGTCGCCTCAAAAGTGGAGGGTTGTAGCCCGTTTAGGAGGTTGTCGCCTCAAAAGTGGAGGGTTGTAGCCCGTTTAGGAGGTTGTCGCCTCAAAAGTGGAGGGTTGTAGCCCGTTTAGGAGGTTGTCGCCTCAAAAGTGAAGTGTCTTAGCCCGTTTAGGAGGTTGTAGCCTCAAGAGTGGAGGCTTATACCTCAATGCCTCGTGGTCTGTGACCAGTTTTTTGTTAGTTTAGTCTGTACTTGTTTAAGTAGTATTAAGTTAGTCGAGTTTGTAAGCATTCAATTAGTAATACGTTTAGTTGATAGTTATAATCAAAAATGTTATGTAATGTACCCTGGTAATAATGTTATGTCTGAGTGAGGACACTCAGTATACAGGATGGCCGAATGTTAGGCACAATCCTTCTTGGTAATATATATAATTAGATATTGTTTACAGGAATGCACATTTGTGTGCGGCCCTTGAAACCTATTGACTATTAATATTGTTTATGAGACATTTGACACGTTTAGTTAATTAGGCAAGCACCAGACTTAGGGTGCCTGGTGGTTATCGGCTGAGAAAGTATTTAGTCTTATAGTAATATTTGTACGAGTCGAAACTATTAATGTAGAATAAAAGTATTTGTGATTGGCGTGTGCAATATATTTGTTATTATTGCTAACAGGGGATAATAATGAACAAACATTTAAAAAAATAAATATAACAAAAAATAAAATAAAACTTTATGGAAAAGCAAAAATAGCAACAAAAAAAAGGAATTAAAATTGGTTATGAAACTTAACGGCCAATCTGCTTATGTCCAATAAATAATAATGATATCGGACAAACGCTGCGTCTATTAATAAATCCATCAGTTGCAAGGAATGCGTTACCGCATAATTGCGTCGGACCAATAAATAGATATTGAAGCAATTTACCGTCTAGCCATTATGTTACAATTTTGAACTGGCCGCAAAATTATAAGCAGGTAATTCATGAAAGTTTCGTCCTGCCCAGTGGCGGCTCGTCAGGGTGAGGTCACCCTCAAACGACCTTTTGTACATTGAATAAAAAAGATGCCCTTAAACTGAAGTAGTCAACTCTCTTGATAAAATATTATTAGCGGCAAGAAACAATATTTTAGCATACAAGAGCATTTATTGCTTGAAGAAAAATGTTCTTAGTGGAAGAAGTATAGTTCGTTTGAAAACAAATACAAAATATGTTGAATGTTTTTTCTTTCAACCAAGTGCAAAGTGTTTTTGTTCAAAAGCTATGAAAATTATTTATATATACACAATTCATTCAAGATACATCATTATTTTCATTAGCCCAATAGCATGTCAATTTTTTAACAAAATCTGGTAGCTTCTGATACACCGTTTGCGACACACGTGTTTAGTACGTTCTATATCATTGCAACTTGCAATTAGGGTTGCCACTTTTCAGGAAAAGTTGAAATTTTTGAAAAGTTGGGTTTTATTTTTCGGAAAAGTTCGGAAAAGTTGGAAAAGATGGAAAAGTTGAGTTTTTTGTAATGTAAACGTATAAAACATAAATAATGCTTGTCAATGTATTAAAATAATTTAATTCTTATGTATTTATACATACGTAACAAAATAACAAAAAAAAATATCAAACAAAATAAAATGAACAGACAACATAATAACAACAAAAATAAACTAGGTTTGAATTAAAAAAATCATATTTTTTAAGTAAAAAAGAATAGAAATTTATACACACCATAAAAAAACACATACGAAATAAAAAATAATTACAAGAAAATATGAAAATTATTAAATTTATTGTTGTTAAAAATTATGGAAATTTACAAGTAAAAATTTAAAAAGAAAAAGAAAAGAAAACTTTCTTCTTTTCCACTTTTATATTTTCACTTGCAAATTTCCATAATTAAAAAAAATAATATTTTTTTCATACTGTACAGTACACGTGTGTAAATAAAAAATACGTTATAATAAAAGAATCTTTATATAATAGAAAATGCTGTTAGCACACGTTGGTACATTTGGCGTTTTCAACTTAAAAAATATATAATCTTCCAAACATTTTTTTTTTAATAGTGATATTATTAGCTTTACTTTTTAAGAAAAATTAAAATCGCGTATGTAGCCGTTGTTAAATGTATTTTTTTTATAAATTATTGCGCAACAATAAGCTTAACATGTGTTCTAGTGAAAATGACCACAGCAATTCGCTATATATATACCTATATATATATATATATCTATATGTATACCTATATATATATATATATATATATATATATATATATATATATATATATATATATACATAT